ATCTCAATCGTTTTCATCTTAAGCTTATCGCTACTATCGAATTAATATATGGCGCTTGTTCTATATTGACTCAACAGTAAGTTTTATTAATGAACGCATGTCGTTATTAATAACTACTCTCGATGAATTGGATATACTCCTTGATTGAGTATTCGAGAGGAAGATAGTTAAAGATATAACCGGGATCGACGAACATTTCATTAAGTGAATAAAAGCAAAATCAAGTCTTCATCTCTATTAATTAAACCACATAAGTCGTTCATCTTAGTGTTTAATTTTACTTCAAATTCAACAACAATCAAAAACCCCTTTGTTACTAATTATATAAAAGAAAAGTATTCTTTTCCCTGTGGATACGAACCTTACTTCGTTATACTACGTATATTCGTTGTATTGTATTTATTTTGAGTGCACTTCACGACAAGTGCACGTCAGATATTGTTGGCTGTCACACGCCTACCACAGCACCCTGCTCCTTTATCCTGGCTTGGGACAGACATGATACCAAAAAAATGATATCATGTCGGAGTTATATGGAAAGTCTAATATTCTTGCAAATTTTGTTTGTAGTTTGACAACGAAAGATTAAAGTTTCCTTTCGAAAGACAACGTAACTTCTACTAAAGTACCTGAACCCCCAAATACAAAGTAAACTTGAATTTTGCGCTGTCATTGGATAGGATGAAGAATGATCTTCTCACTATATTTATTGATCTTTCTAGTTATTCTTTCAAGTGCGAGATAACCTCGATGGGTTGCGGGTTTTTCTTCTCCTAATAGGGGCTCTACCCTGAGCACCTATGTGTGCTTCTTCTTGACTAGAAAGGGGATTACGACTTGGAGGTGGTGGGGCGGCGGCCAGAGCAGCTTCTTCTGCCTCCATTTCCATAAGTTGCTCCTCCTCTGATTTCACTAAAAGCTCTCGATACTCGGCAAACTCTTCCATACTGAAAGTTGATGGCTTGTGAGCCCCACGCCACCCACGGTCCCTGTGCCACGCCAGGTGGCCAAACAATGCCTTGTCACTAGCAAACTTTCTATTACAAACGTCACAAATTTCTACTTCGTCTTCATCGACTTTCTCCTCAATCGGAACCACATTTCCATGAAGGTAGCTTCCCCCATTAATGGTTTTCTTGGACTTTCCATGCTAGAAGAAGCTATGATATATCGAACTTAACCCTTGTTTGTCTAACCTCACCCAAGTCAAGTACTCTTTATGCTTTAATTCGTTTATATTTATACTTACTTATATTGTCAGAGTTTATAATGTGGGTGAAATTTCTTTGGAATTGATTATTTTAAAGGTTGAAACGTTGAATTGTGACACGTCTCTCACTCTCTCCTCGGGATTCTGTGTCTCGGAATCTGTGTTTTGTTGGAACTCTGAAGTTATTAGGAATCCCAAATATTACAATAAAAATACGTTCTTTAATTTATTTATTCATTATTCATGGTAATTTTTATGGCTCAAAATTGTTAAAAACCGATAGAACTCGTAGGAGATCACATTTTTAACGGGTGCAAGTTCACCCACATTACGGATGGATCGGGTGATAAACAAGTGAACAAGAATAAAATAATAAAATTTCCTTAAAGTAAAAGGAAATAAACTAATGGCATGCAAATTAATGACAATTAAATTTATTGAACTAAAAGCAACATCATAAAATAACTTTCAAGAATACAATAACAACATTACTTTGATGTCACAAAGACTCGCACCTACAATGGAGTAAGGGAGATCAGATGTAGGCATGTAGCAGTCTTACCTCTATACTAAAACATAGAGATAACGTTCTGCAATGTTCTATAATGAAACTCGCGACAAAAGTTGCATGAAATAACTACTACTTTATAACAAGAAGCGCAGACGTGATAGTGAAGTCATTTTTCTTTACTCCATCATATTGTCAAACCAAAAAGTACCAAATAATTAAAATTAAAGAGTAAATGGAGTCATGCTTTATTATATACTTCAAATGAAAATATCCAAACGTTATTCTATTTTGAATTCACAATAACAAAAAAGGTTTTTCCTTAAATATTATCAATAGAAATGTCATGAACAAAAATGTGACTTAGTAACTATGAGTGATTATAGTTGTGTTCAAAGTTTACACAACAGTAACTTACATTGAGTTACTATAGTGTAAGTTTTGAACAAAATTGTAGTCACCAATAGTTACTAAGTACTCCTTATGTCCCGTTAATATTGTCCCATTTTACCTTTTCTGAAGATCCTACTAAAATTGTGGCATACCAAAATTGGTAAAGTTGTTGTGGGTCTAAATCATTCTTATTTTATTCTTACTTTATCAATTAATATCAACTACATAAAGTCACTTTTTCAATAACCGTGTCACCCCCCTTTCGTCCGAATATTAGTGGGACGGAGATAATAATATTTTGTAAATCACATTTTAAAGAGTAATATTTATGAGATTTTTCTAACAAAAATGAAACAATATCTAATAACATATATTCCAATAGATTATGTTTCAATACTAAATAGTCTAAATGAGGCATTTAGGGTATGTTTGCACAAAATTAAAAAAAAACAATGTTTTTCAGCTTTTGAGTTTAAAAAAATGAAATGAGTGTTTACAAGTGACAACTTCTTAAATTGAACACTTAAATCTAAATCTAAAAGCTAAAATCTGCTTTTTACTTTTTTCATTACACAAAAAACACATATATTTTACCAAACAATACCAACTTTTACTTCTCCAAATCGTTTTTTTACATTACTAACTTTTACTATTTAGCAGTTTTTCCAAAAACACTTTAAAAAGTCATTTTTTAAACGGAAGTAATTGCAACCCTTAATCTAATCATATTTACAATTTTTTATTTTGAATGAAGTTAATTTAGAAAGTTGTTGATATTAATTTTGTTGGTACATGTTGATATTGTTGATGTACTCCATAAATTAAACAAATTATATAGAGTATATGTTCCTTATATTATCAGAGGTTATAATGTGGGTAAAGTTTCCTTGGAATCGAATGTTTCGGAGGTTGAAACGTTGAATTGTGACACGTCTCGGGATTCTATGTTTCGGGATATGTGTTTGTTGGAACTCTGAAGTCATTGGGAATCCCAAATATTATAATAAAAAAAGTTCTTTATCTTTTCATGATGGCTCAAAAATGTAAATAAAAAAAACAGCGGAACTCACAGAGTCATAGAAGGTCACATTTTTAACGAGGGCAAGTTCACCCACATTCATTCACCAATTTTTCATATTCAACCCTTTTGTAGATTGATCATGTGATTAACAAATGAACACAAAGAAATAAATTTTCTTCAGGTAAAAGGAAACAAACTAATGATATGCACAATAATGAGAATCAAATTTATTGAACTAAAAGCAACATCATAAAATAACTTTCAAATGTTAAAAACAAAAGTACAATAACAACAACATGACCTCAGTGCCACAAATGCTCACCTACAATGGGGTAAGGGGGCAGATGTACGCAACCTTATCTCTGTAGTCTATACTAAAGCATAAAGATATTGTTTCCGGATAATATATAATCTATAATGAAACTTGCTACAAAAAATGCATAGAAATGATACTACTTTATTACAAGTAGGGGAGAGAAAAACCCGATCCCACCCGAAAAACCGATCGGATATACCCGAGATACGCTTAGCGGGTCGGATGACTCGAACCCGATTACCTGATCCGAAATTGCAAACCTTGATCTTTAACGGCAACGGATATCGGGTATGGTTTTGAAAATGATACCCGACCCTCCCGAAAAACCCGAACTAGCGTAGTATATATACTATTTTGAATTATTATGCATATTCAAATATCACAATTATTGTATGTCAATTATCATATTATGCATGTTCAAATATTCCAATTGTCGTATTTGTACAACTATAACTTTGAATGTTGTATTGTTATGACTTTGAATGATATTTTGATCAATTATCATTTTATTTATCACAATATCAAATATGTCAATCACTGTATATTATTATTTTACGGGTTCAAATATGTCGATTACCGTATTTATACAACTATTACTTTGAATATTATACTAATATTACTTTGAATGATTTTTTTACCAATTATTCCTTCCGTCGCTTAAAACTTTGACAACTTTCTTTTTTAAGTGTCTCATTAACTTTGCCACCTTCCCTTTTAAGTAAAGAATTTGTGGTTCCAGTTAATTCTCTCTTCTCTCCACAAACCTCTACCGCACAGTTTTTACTTTATTAATCTTCGTGCCGGTCAAACTTGGTAAAAATTTAAGGGGTGGAGGGAGTACCATTTTATTTATCACAATTTCAATAATAATAAATTAAAATCGGAATGGACCCAAAAACTGAATCAACCCGACCGCAACCCTAACTTCTTCAACCCGAAAAACTCGATAATTTATTTGATAGGGTAGGGTTTGAAATTATCAATCCGATAACCGAACGGGTTTACAACTTTTGAACCCGACCCGCCTGACCCCGACCCGTGCTCTGCCCTAAATTCACAATAACAAAAATGAAAACATTATCTAAAAACATACATTCCTATATATTCTGTTTCAATACTAAATGAGGTATTTAAATCTAATCGTATTTACAATTTTTTATTTTAAATTTAGTTTGTTTTTCTTTGTATCGTTCCAATTTTATCAGATGTCCCCGAAGGAACATCCGATATTAATTTGTTATGAATTTAGTTTGTTTATTATGAATTTAATCTGTTTTTAGTTAGTTGTTGATATTAATTTTGTTTATGACAATTTTTTATTATGAATTTAGTTTGTTTATTATGAATTTAGTTTGTTTCTAGTTAGTTGTTGATATTAATTTTGTTGGTACATGTTTATATTAATACTGTTGATGTACTCCATAAAATAAACAAATTATATATCTGGTAAATTTAAAGAGACTACTACCACGGGCCACCCCAAGGATAAAATCAAAAAAATCTTCAAAAGATTGTAACTTTTGGAAGTTTTTCTTAAAAAACAAATACGGAACCGAGTATTAAAGGCAACAAAAAACTATTCTCATTTCAAATTGATATGCAATCAAACTGCAATTACAAGAAAGATGATAAAAAAAATTAGAAATTGCAAAAAAAAAAAGTCCAAACACATTATACAACTAGAAACCAAAGGCCAATGTCATAGTCTGCAACTCTAACGTTCTCAAGGAAAGTCGATATAACTACAACTGAACTATTTGATATCAATTTTGTTCCTATTGTTGTCATTGTCCCTGTCCCTGTCCTTGTGCATGCGGAGGGGGGCCAGGAGGTAGTGGCGGTGGCATACCAGACTGCATCCCAAATGTACTGGGCATTGACTGTTTCAACAAAACAAAATAAACAAGAATAATTAATTAATCATATATAGATCAAGGGTAATTGTTATGGGGTAATCAAGGTAAATGCTTAATGCTTATGTGCAGGGGCGGATCCAGGGGGTCAGGGTGGTCAGCCGACCCCGCTGAAAATTTGAAAGTATAGAGCTCTGAAATATCTTCGATTTGATATATTATGGCCCCCGCAACTCATTACGAGTAAAAAGTTATGACTTCTGATAAATCAACACTATCTAAACGTGAAATCGGCAAAATTTGATCTATACTATAGATTATTTTCTCAAATTTTAAAAATAAGGTATAATTCACTCAATACTTACGTGACACGACTCAGAAACAGAGCAAAGACAATCTGTCTTACTGCTACAAGTGCCTATTTATCTAAACTGCATATGAAATATTCAACTTGGACATTGTTTCAAAAAAAATCCACCATGTTCACTCTGTATATAGGTTGAGTTTCGACCCCCTGAGCCGTTTTTCTGGCTCTGCCACTGCTTATGTGATCACTTTACAAGTTTCACTTGGGTTCTGTTTGGTTAATATGATTGACAATAAGAATAAGTAGATGTCACTCATTCGGCTGAAATGGATGTCACCAAACAAAGCCCCCTTCATAAAATTCAGCATATTTAGACATTTTAGCCACATAGGTCTTACACCAAACGGTCCCTAAGAAATGTGCCGCTAACGATAGAATGATGTGGTTATGTCATTGGAGATAGCTACTTGGAAAATGATAAGAGGATCAGCTAAAGCAACAAAGGGTCCGGAAACCAAACAAAAAAATACTCTGTACAAATCAAGCATGTCACGTCTCCCCATAACGCAAAACATACATTAGCAGTAAGTGGCTCTTAACCTGAAAAGGATTCATCCCAGGAATGTGTGGCATCTGCCCGCCTTGTGGTCTGTTGAAGCCTCCACCAGGCTGAAACATTTGGTTGCTGCCAGTGTTTGGAGGAGGCCCTTGCATTCCTTGCCTCCCATTTGGCATCCCACCAGGTGGTGCATTCAGACCCCCCATAAAGTGACCTTGAGGCATTGGAGGACCCATCTGACTCATATTACCTTGCATTCCCTTTATAATAAGAATTAATGAAGCAGCAGATGATTATAGTAATAGTAATAACAATAAAAACTAAACAAAAGAATCAATTAATTCCAGAGTAATACTTATAAACAGTGTTTCGAACTAGCAAGCTAGAAAAGTATTAAGAAAATGGGGAAATGCGAAGGAAAAAGTTTTTTGTGTTTTGCTGGAATTGTATTTTACATATATTGAATTTTCTTAGTCTTTCTATAATACAACTATGTACATAAAACGACTTCTTACAAATATCTAAAAAAGATTTATTGATTTTTTATCCGTTTTTCATTTCATCTCAATTTTCATTTTCTTCCGAGTTTCCCGTCTATTTTTTCCATAATATCTTTACTTGCAATTCTGATCAGACCCTTATGCCTGTTTGGAACTAGGATAGTACTAGGGACAGAAAATAAGGAAACCATATAGGAAAATTTGCAGGGAATAAAAAAGTGGAGGAAAACAAAAGACGGGCTAATATTCAACCGATTAAATCCTGATTTTTTAACTCATTTTATTTATATTTCTGTTATATGCAGATAAGAATCTAAAAATGTGGGGGGAATCATATATAATATGCCTTGGCTCTTTTTCCCTTCTGCTAGTATTCAAGAACACCCAAACTAACCCTTAGGAGAATGAGAAAAAAGAGTTACCATCGGACCAGGCATTGGCATGGGCATAGATCCAGGCTGTAGTTGAGGAGGGGGGCGGGGTAAATGAGGATGCTGCAACATAGGCATATGAGATGGTGGCTGTAATGGGTGAAGTGGCATGGAGTTCATTTGCTGAAGGTTTTGGTTATAACCACCATGTTGTTGATTATTTGCAGCAAGAAGGGAAGGGTGGGGACCAGGAGGGAGTGGAGGAGCACCTAAAGGCATTGAGGCCGGTAAAGAATTTTTCTGTTCTTGGGATGATGACGATGAATCAAGAGTGGGAAGAGAAAGTGGCATAGCGGCTCCAACACCAGGAATTGTGCCCTCATTCCGTATCAAACCGGAAGCAAATACTCCAGGTGTTGATGATGATGAATCAGATCCTCCAAAATTTCCAGTCCTATAGCCTAGAGCAGAATTTTGATCATAGGCACCTGTGAAATGATAAGATTTGAATAAATTTGTATTAGCATATTATATTAGAATAAAACAATATGTAGATTCTAGAACTTCTTAGTTTAAAAAAAATATAAATAGAGTATACGACTTTGAACAAAATCAAAAATAAATTTATCGTGTTTGAAGCAATGCTTTATTTTCTCACCAATTATTCTTTGAAAAACTTCCCAAAATATGAGTAAAAGGGTGATTTCTCAATAGGAGTGCTATGCTTTGAAACTGTGGTACCGCCATGTTGAAATCAGTATCATATTGTCAAATTATGGCATTATTATGGGCATTTATATGGCAGTATTACAGCCATTATATGGCAATATTCATCAGGAGACAATAATTACTCCTATTTAGGGGGGAAATATCGAAATCCCATTGTTTTTAAACCTATTTACGCCAATTTCTTTTATTGTTTTGCTTCAAATGTACCATATAGTTTCTTCCATATTTTCCTTTCCTAGAATTTTCTGAATTTCAAATGGAACCTTGGTTCTAGTTTAAAAAAGATAATTGAGATCGCTGGACTTCACCAAGTACTTACATGTGTGTGGTCATATGCGTGTGTGTCTATATATACACACAAACACATATATGTACGTATGTAGAGGTGAGATATCATTTAAAAGTACACATCCGCAGGAACTAAATTTAAAACTGTATATTTTATAATGATCAACTTTTGGTTCAGTTATATGGATTGAAATTTGTGTGTATTTACTTTCAGTTATAAATAAATACAAAGTCTCTATCCATAAAGGTACCCTATTCAAACCATTCCGTGTATGTATATATACATGCATGGATGTATGTAGATCTACTGAAATCAGAGGTCCACACCTTGCTGATTCAAGCTGAATTTATCACGAGCAGAATCCCCAGGCCTATTTCTGCACCAGAACTTCGTAGAATGATCATTGCTACCACTGCATCAGCAAAAAAAAAAGTAAAAGTAATTATGAACTGTGTTATCACTAAGGTTATGAGCTATTCAAGGCCATGATAAAATTGATGAAGTGTACGATGGGAAATTTATGGTTCATTTGCAAAAGTAGGATAAAAAGGGTCGAAAGTTGGGTTTGGGCTTGCATGCATACAATAAGTAGAAGAATGCACATTGTGAATGCTCTCCACGATGAAAGAAAGAGTGAACAGAGAGAGCCGTGAAATAAAATTCACAATGATGACCTCCTATGTAAATCGATTAGCAAACAGACAGCCAAATTGTGTTAAAAACAATAGATGAATATTTAAATACCATCCTACATGAGAAGTAGTGTTCTCAATCCAGGTAAATAAACAACATCAGAATAGGGGTCCCTATCAATCAAGGAAGAAGTGACAAAAGTTGGTACACCCATATATCATTTTATAAGTTATTACGTTATAATTTAAAGTATACGGCATTTTATGCCCCATGTCCAGTAGTGGTTAGTACTTGGTACACAAGCAGACTAGTCCAGATGAATCAAGAAGAAGAACAAAAACATGTTTTCAAAAATAACTGATGTAAGCATAATCAAATTCGTTCAAAATAAAGTTAAACAATATAACAAGATATGGCTGTGGAATAGACAGCCTACACGGATAGGAACAGCTATAGTGTTATAACAATATGACAAGATTATGGCTGTGGAATAATAATCTGTACCTGCAAAGAATATACCCTATCGGGTGCCATGCAAGATCACATACACCACTATCATGTGCATTTGCAATTTCAATCTGAGGAGTTTCATGCCTGTAAAGTGGAATGTGTAAATTGTCTTGAGTGCATATTAAGCAGGAAATAAAAGATGCTTAATACTAGTACTCCCTTCGTCCCAAAATGATAGTCCTGTATTTCCTTTTTGGGATGTCCCAAAATGATGGTCCTGTTTCCCTTTTTGGAAAGAAAGATGTGGTCCATATCATTTCACTTTATTATACTCAAATCTCAACCACAACTTTTACCTTTTCAATCACTTTATTAAAACTTGTGCCCAAAAGAAATGAGACTATCAAATTGGGACGGAGGGAGTATGTTTTAACAAAGGTTTATATAACAAGTATTGCAGGGTGACTGAGTGACCCAATTGCCCTTTTTTCTGAAAGAAAATAGTGCTGCTTTTGTAAATGCAATCAGATCAGAGTAGTGGTTTTCATCACTTTAAAGCACTTCTATGTTTTTCTCTTTAAAAGATGATTTTTTTTAATAAGTGCTTCTGCTTAACTTGCAACTTGGAGATGAAACCTCTAAGCAGTGGAGAAGGTGCTTAAAGCTGCTTTTCACTCTATCCATAATTTTTTACCTAACTTAGACATCAAAAGAATACAAAACACTCCAACTTCTACTATTTAAAAACCACTTTTATTTTCACACTGCGAAAATTTACGTTTACGCGCTTTCTTGATAATCTCTTAAAATAAATCACTTCACACAAGAACACACATACTAGCTTTGACTTGTTGAACAGAATCACAGATTTATTTCCGTTACTGAATGAAACAATAAGAGTTGAGGCAGTGTTCCTTCTCCCATCTACTTCCCAAAACAAGTGCTAAATTTACAGGATAGAAGAAAGGATGTCTTCTAAAAGTACTCAATATTGATGTTAAGGAAAAATATAAGCAAAACTTAGACGGTCCAAAACATAAAAACTCCAGTGTCCAGTGTATTCCAATGTTCAGTTAAAAGCATTACTTCCATTACATGAATAGCAACATTAAATTTATCCGGAAACAGAAACAGAGAAATTAAGAAGGTATACCCCACAAGCCAATGGAATATTGAACCATCATAACTCCCACTAACAAAATATTCTTCATGAAATGGATGCCAAGCCAATGCTATCATGTTCAAACAAACAACTATCAATACCAAAAGAATAAAAAACATCATAGAAAAAGCAAAAAAAAAAAACTTGATCAATGTAGCAATAGTATAACGGAGCACAAGAATATGATGTGTGATTATGTGAACATGTGACTAACAATTCTGCAAAGTACTTCGCAAAAACTCCATGCAGAAATTAATAAAATCAACATCAGCTCATAACCATGCAGTTCAGTATCATTTGAAGTGTGTTGAGGCAACTATATTTTTTTGGCAGCCTGGTGCACGAAGGCATCCCGCAAGGCAAGGGTCCGCGGAGGGTCCCACCACAAGGGTGTACAAGGGCCATGCCTCCCCTGTCAAATTTTGACAAGAAGCCGCTCCCAAGACTTGAACCCGTGACCTCCCAGTCACACAGCAACACCTTAACCGGTGCGTCAAGGCTCCCCTTCCCCTTCGCGTTTTGCCCACATTTGGTACATGACTATACTATGACTATGAGTAGGTTATCTTGCTTTGGCTATCAACATTAATTGATCAAAGTTTTGTTCCTAGTGGACATAAAGGCCTATGTGTTACATTAAATGTAATGTGATTCCCAGTTTCAGTTTTAAAAAGAATTCATTCCACTTTTGTGCAAGAGTACTATACCAATCCACATTAGGTCCATGTCTTTGACTTCACCCACATTTGGTACATGACTAAAATGTTCCTTGCCCATCTTTAGTCCATCTAGCTAAATTTCCAACAAAGACTTTAAGGGCAGGAAAATTAACCGGAAGGACCACAGTGGGCCAGGAACAATAGTCATGCATGAATATCGAGAAAAGTCAATTATATGGACCTAAAGTACTATTAGTATTATATGGAATTTATTCTTTTTAAAGCATTTTCCAAATTTTCATTTTCTGTAATAAAATTTATGAATTTTAACAAATTCTACCATTTTTAAATCCAAAAATTTATATAAGGGCCATTGCTCTTATGACTCTAACTGGAATAGAAGTGTGTGAGTATTATTATGTGCCAATTATGCCAAGTTAACTTGCAAGTGCTTAAATCTCTGCTCTTCTTGTTCCCCAACTAAGTTGACAACTAAAAATGTAATAACGTAGTTATTTGTAGTGCTAACTTGTACTACGTTTATCTTATTATTTACTTCCTCAGTTTCCTGTAACATGTAGGTTCTATGAATTGTTATCTTTCTTTAATTCTTTCCTAAACTCTTATTTCTTTTAAATGATGTCAATCATCTATTGATCTATTCACTATTACATTTTCTCATTGTGTACATATTTAAATGCATAAAGTGCATTACTAGTCCAGTTCCAGACAGACCAGTTCCCGAATCCCAGGTGCAGTAACCGGAATCGCTCCCTTCTTAACAGATACAGGTCAGTTTTCAGTTTCAGTAAAGCTCCTAGTAGGTTCCGGAGCGGATTTTAAAAGCAAATACTGTGGAGGCTTAGCCGGAACACTGCCAGAAAAAACTGGATATCAATTCCAAATCTGGACCAAAACTTTTGTTTGCTATTGGAAGACTCTGTATTACTCCGTAGTTAATTAAGACCTGCTCGACTCAAAAATAGTAATTGAGAGACCTGCTGCCTACGACCATCATATCATCGCAATCATTACCCCAGTCCTGCAAAGGCTCCCACCTAAGGTGGGGTAAGGAGGGCGGATATACGTAGCCTTACCCCTGTACTAAAGTATAGAGAGACTATTTCCAGATGACCCATGGTGAAAATCACATCGACAATTGCATAGACTGACTGTTGCTTCATAACAAATCAGCGCTTACAGTTTACTGTGCCATTTTGCTATTCCATCATATTCCCAAGAAAAAAACAGCGAGTCTTTGGCTCCATTGCAAATGATTGGAAAAAAAAGAAAGGAAAAGCAACGAACAACTGGGAACGAATTGCTTCTGGAGCTTGATGGCTTCCTTCAGCTGGAGACTGAAGTTGTACATTTCTATTGCACTTTGGCTTTCTGAAAATCTTGGAGTTCGATTATTGAGTCTAAGAGTCATACAATCGCCAAGTAAGATTGGGCTTTATTATAAAACTCTGAAAGCCCTAATTCCTAGTTATATTGGTTTCCTAAAATGGCTAAAATTTAAAAAATTTATTTTCTGGGCCTGGACTGTGCGTTTAGCCATTGCTTTCTAAAAATCTGGCATCACCTTTTCGCTAAAACAATGACAGGACTGCATCAGGATGCGTTTAGCCATTGCTTTGGCTTTCTGCACCTGGTGACCGCTCCCCAGCACCAGGACGCCTAGTCGGCAACCAGGCAATGTCGTAACAAGTACCAACCTTGATCACTGCAATGCATACATAGCAGAAAGAAAGAAAAAAAGAGTTGAGTTATTTCTTACTAGTAACATCCTTTTGATGCCCACGGAATGACTCAAGCTCCTTCATGGCCCTAATGTCGTAAAGCTTGAAGCAAGACACAGGAAGTATCATAAGAAAACTTGAACACCAAAAAAAATTACTTGACATGTTTTACGCAGTTACTTGGTCCACAAATGTGATAATAGTTCTTGGCTTGGTGTTTTTATAGATAACAAATGTCAAAGCACATATGAGTGACAGTTGTTCACTATACAATTACAGAAGTGCAGATGCATGCCTATTATCCTTGATTGCTAAACAACTTTAAAAGTTGAGGATCAAACAGAGCCTTACCTTTATAATTTGATCCTTAGAAGCAGTAAGCACCCAGTTACCATTTTGATTCCACTTGACACAAAGAACATTATTCTTGTGGTCATGACTGCAAAACAGAATGGAGATCAATAGTACATTGAGAAGAATGTCCTCCAGGCATCAGCAACTAACAGATAGTGTGGTAAATATAAAATAAAAATACATAACAGCATCCTATACTGACAATGAACACAGCTCTCTCCCTGACTTGGCATCCCAAAGTTTAACAAGATTGTCTTTTCCACCTGACAGCAGGAAAATATTATCCACAGTAAGAGAATCTCCCCAAACTTTTCAAAATCAGGAAACGGAAATTTTGTGTGTGTTGAAGGAGTAATAATCACCGCGGAATATAGTTTCAGAGGGGCTGTTTTAAGGTAGATAGTGTAGTAAGGAAATGGTTTATTCAGAAAGCGATAGAAAAGGTAAACAAAAAGAAGGCAGTCAAGGGCACCTGAAACAAGTAAGGACTTTGTAGGATGCCAATCAACACTCTTCACATCCCAACCATGGCCTGCCTGAGTCGAATGGTAAACATAAAAATTTCTTAGACTATCATATGCATTTATGTTAATCGGCAGAAATAAAATATGTCAGTCACTCAGTCTCATTCATTAAGGCCAGATCATAAATGTTTCATCGACACGTTCTACAGGTTATAGAGAAAAATAGACATCCAATTGATTTCAATAAAGAAAGCTTAATTTCATAGAATTTTAAAAACCAAAGGGACATTACCAGTTAATGAACTCTCTTCTTGGCACCGTGCGAAGTCCCAGACTTTAACGGTAGTGTCATCAGAGCATGAACAGAATTTCCCATTTGTTCGGCAGAAGCTAGAGCAGCATAAGAAAAAAGGGTAATTATAGATAATCCAAAGATGAATTTGCTGTTCACAAAATATTAATGCAGGGAATTTAAGCAATTCAATCTAAGCATTATTTGAAAGCTAATTCGGCGAACTTATAAATGAACACATATATAATAATCATAATTTAGAAACTAACAGAAAGATAAATGTGATCCAGACTTGATTGTTCTATACCTTAATTCACGTACAGATTCTTTGTGTGCTGTTTTATTGGCTTTTACATTATTCATGTTAGTCTGCCAATATCTGAAATAGTATAAATGTAAAAATTAACAAAAAATGATTCACTGGTTCAATTGAAAAATACAACACCCATAAGATCCGGTTATGACATGGTTTTACTTTATAGCACCCGCATCATCACCCGTGACCATCCAAGTGTCATTGTAGCTCCACACCATTGACCTGACTGCCTGATCATGAGCCTGCACATTGAAAGTTGAAAATTTCTCATGTTACATTTACCTGGTTATCATCTAGATTATAAGTGCACAGACTCAATTTTTATACCTGAAGAATCATTTCAAAATTAAAAGACTGTCCATTCCACAGAGTAAATTCACCACTTTCCGATCCAGTAATAAGGCGTCTCCCAGTAGGTGTCCACTGAACAAATGAAAAGGAAAGAGTGCGGTAATTGAATACTTGTTCTGAAAAAGAACTCAATCACAAAGTTTATCCCCAAAGAAGCGTTGTACCATTTGATATCTGCTCTACTGTTTTCATTTTCACTTTCATGAATACATTTATATGTTAAACAGTTCACACGATTAAACAGTGTCGATCCAATCCCACCTCTGATGGTTGGTTCATTATAGGAACATTCATAAAGCTTATATGAAAAGAATAGGGTGAGAGGATTATATATCACAATCATTCAGATAAAAACGGCTAGGAGGTCTAAAACATCGTGGAGCAAACAAAAAAAAAACTTGAAGGTTTAGTAAATTGTAATGATTTAACTTGCAGTACACGCCATAAAATTAGCAATGAAAGAAATAGCAAATATCAATCAAATGCGGCTTACAATATTTCCTTTCAAAACATTAAAAGCAAAGTCACCCAAAATGTAGTAGCAAAACTAATTGGTACGGATGGTACTGTTGAGAAACAGAAAAATAGAAATCAACGGGGTGAACTCTAACTCTAACTTTAAAATACCGTTGCCCAAAGCCAAAAGGCTAAACTCTAACTTTATTCCAAAAATAATCAGAATGAACCCTGGCGAGGGGTATAAATAGCCTTCTACAAGAACCCTAATCAAGCCCAAATTAATTAAATCCTAATTAAGCCCATACTAACTCTACTAAGTACTCTACTAATAATAGGCCCAAACTAAAACATAACGATAAATTTTAAAATAATAAATAAAACTATAATCCCTAGCCCAGAACCGGCCCACGGAAGTGAGCCCAATCCCGTTCCCGCCCCATGTTCTTCTTGCTCTCTATCAATCCATCCCCCTTCAAATAACCTTGTCCTCAAGGTTGTAATTTCGCAGATCAAGGACTGAAATTTCCAACCATGGAATAGACTGGAAAATATCCCTCATCGCCTTCCGGAACCTTTTCCCGGCCAGTTATTTCACAGTACTCATGTTGTTGGAGGTCCAACACCTCATCCTCCTCAGCTATCATTACCCGCAACTGCTTAAAGGGGCAGTCATGCCCTGGTGTAAATGGTTTCTTACACCTAAAGCATAATCCTTTAGCCCTCAAATCTGCGAACTCCTTTGGCGGAAGTCGAGTGAACTGAGAACGTGTCGTAGGCTGCCCGGATAGTCCTGACTTAGTCCCCGGGGGTTGTCCACTATCCTTCGGGAAGCTGCCACTTGATTCCTGTAGGCTGTCACCACTGGCAGTCAACGGAGGGCTCGTGTTTGGCCTTAAAAAGCTACTGGAACGTACACCTGAAGGATTATAATCCTGGCTGTCACTTCCTCCACGCTGGACGGACAGATTGTACTCCACATCACGAGCTAATTCCATGGTTGTCTCCAAGCTATTCGGGCGCAGCAACCGCAACGAACCCCGAACCGGTCCCTTTAGTCCATTCATAAAATACCCGAGGTAATGATCGTCAGACAACCCAGGAACCTGACTCGCCAACTGGATAAAGATCGAGGTATACTCCTCCACCGTCCTTGTCTGCTTGACCCCGGACAATCGCTCGAAACGACTGCCCGTAAACCGTGTGTCAAACCTCGCCACCAGTGCCTGCGTAAACTCTTCCCACGTCATGCTAGGCTTCCGCTTCCTTAACCACGTTACCTAGTACAAGGCTGCTCCTTCCATGGCAACTACAGCCGCTGGTACCTTCCTCTCGGGCGGCGTACAACTCAATTCAAATTGCTGTCTGCCCTAGCAAGCCAACCAATGGGATCCACCCCGTCAAACGAAGGAAGCAGCCGCCCTGGTCTTCGAAGTCACCGCCACTGCTGAAGGTGGCCGCCGTCTCGTTCTGCGACGTCATCGCCGCCGCCGAAGCCCCGGACGCCGCTGTCGCCTTCCCTCCAGTTGCACCTGCCGTCGTGAGTGCAGCCAGGGCGGCTGCGATCTCACCCAATTGCGCACTCACCGCATCTAGTTTCTGGTTCATCGAGGCATGTTCGGCATCCACCTCCGTCAAACGCTCGGTGTTAGATCTAGTCATTCCGGCGGAAACGGGATCTGGCAGGTCGGACCAATTGTTGAGAAACAGAAAAATAGAAATCAACGGGGTGAACCGTTGCCCAGATAATCAACGATAAAAATACCGTTGCCCAAAGCCAAAAGGCTAAACTCTAACTTTATTCCAAAAATAATCAGAATGAACCCTGGCGAGGGGTATAAATAGCCTTCTACAAGAACCCTAATTAAGCCCAAATTAATTAAATCCTAATTAAGCCCATACTAACTCTACTAAGTACTCTACTAATAATAGGCTCAAACTAAAACATAACGATAAATTTTATAATAATAAATAAAACTATAATCCCTAGCCCAGAACCGGCCCACGGAAGTGAGCCCAATCCCATTCCCGCCCCATGTTCTTCTTGCTCTCTATCAGGTACTAAAGTCTTTTGTATAAAATTTAATTAATTGAGTTCAATAGGCATTTCATATATGAAGTACATCAAGTAATGGTACTAGTATAGTAGTACTGTAGTATCCACAAAGACGTGAAACAAAACTAAAGTGAACAAAAGTCAAAACATTATGAAAGCAATTCCAAAGAATACCATACACTGACATAGTGACACACACGTATAGTCATACAGACACATATACTTATATGTATAGAGGACTGATCAAATCCAGACATTCCCCCCCATAGTTCTGATTTAATTGTTTCTTTGTGTGTGTGTGTGATTATATGTGCAATGCCGCAATCTTTTATCAACTTAACAAAACACAATTAATTGTGTGTGTGTGTGATTATATGCACGATCTTTTATCAACTTACCAAAACACGATTGATTGAACAACGGTTTTTGTTAAGGGACGTATGAACAAACTTCGCAGCAAAACTAGTGGATGGATTATCAGAATAGCCAACTGATGGTAGCATCTGCAAACGTAACAAAAGAAAAATGTCATTGACAAACAGCTCGACAAAAGAAAAGCTTATCCGAGTGGAAGAAAACATTGTAGTGCCATGTCTAAAATTTACTTCCAAGAGAAAATGGGAAAAAAGACGGAAGAAATAATAATTCAATGAGTGAACACACATCAACTGCAGCTGCGGGGGTAGCTTGCAACACAGTTCTGTCCCTTGAATCACGTTGCCACATGCGAACCTATATGCCACCGTCAATATCAAATGCAAAGTATTAAGATCCCACAAAGCAATTGGCATACCACATATATAATAAAAAGTTTCAGGAAGTATAAATAAAATAATCAAATTGAAGAAGCAAGCACATAGGCAAAAATATCACAGCAATCTTAAATGAACAAACATACTGGTCCACTAAGTTGCATATCTTGTTTTTAGTATTAAGATAAGTAGTTCTCTTTTTTATATAATTATGTGGGTGTGGGGGACCATATTTCAGCCCAAACAATCTTGCAGTCCCTGAAAGTAATGACAGCAAAGCCTGCTATGGGCCTTCTGGGAGTTGGACACGAGGAGAGTCTCTAACTCTTGGGCTCAAACCAGTCGAAATACCCATCAAGTTCATCTTGTTTTTCTCTGTAGTCAATGTTACTAGTTTACATTCATGAATCGGGTCATTTGTCAAATTCATATTAACAAAACTCCTCTGCAAATGCTAGGCCAGATTAACATCAGATGAATGTAGAAATTAAAAATAAGAGAGGATAGTTACCAAATAGTTTCCCAACTTTCAACTTTTTCACTAATCTAGCACATGCTTACAGAAATAAACATAAATACACATTCTCCTAACTCCTAAGTCATAACTGCAATGTCCTCTGACCTAATGCCTGGGTTTACGAGACTGCAACTAAATTAGAAATGAAAATTCCAGTTCAAGAAAAAGATGCAGGAGAAAGAAAAAAATGAAACTTATAGCCCTGAAATCCCTAATTTGCCTTCTACCTCCTCCCGTGTAACAACTTCCCTGACTGAATTGGGTATAGGGATTTTTAGTTGTTTGGTTCTTCTTGCATCTTCTTTTTATTAATTGGTGAATTGGTGAGCACTGCATAGTACCTAAACAAGCGGCCAAATAATACTCCAAATGCCAGTTCGAAAGGAAATGTGTATTTACATGTGGTTTTTTCATGCAGAGGCTAGATTAGTGCGCACGTTGAAAGTTCCCAAAAAACATACAACAATACATGATCTTAATAACCCTGGAAGAATCGCAAAATATCGATCACATATGAAAAATGATTAAAAGTTCAGCAAATAAAAATTTAAAGACGGGTTTTCAACATAATAACAACCTCATTGGAATATAATAACGAGTTCAAAATTGAAAATTTTATATATGCTGCAAAGCTTCCATAGTCTGTTCTACAGATTCTTGTACTTTTACATACATCTATATCTGCAATGAGATATCACTCAACAATCATTACCTGCATATATCGTACAACAGTACTAGTATAGTCAACAGCTCTTCTTTGTCCCATTTTCCTCATTCTCTTTGCACCATAACTGTCGGCATGAGCTGGGTGCAAAGAAAAGGCAGTAGTAGTCAATAGTCATCTTAACATTTATCTAGAAGATTAATGTGGTCTGTAAATGTGAACTTATATCCACTAATTTGAACTCCCTATTGGTTTCAATTAAAAAGGATTTCATCAACAAAATGGAAGATTAATCAAATTGTTTCCCCTTTAGATTAAATGCATTCAGATAAAGTCACAGGAAACAATTGATTCCATTTCAAAATAATCAGGAAACACCAGCAGCAGATGAAAATGCGAGCTGTTACCATCATAAGAGTGATGAGGAGGAGGAGGCCCAGGGGGCATAGAAGGGTGGTGAAAATCAGTCGGGGGAGGAGCATTTGCGTTGAGAGGATTGGAGGAATGCGGGGGCTGACGCATCATTAGAGGCGGACCGGGCGGAGGTTGTGGCCCCCTGGGAAAGTCTCCAAACTGAAATGGTTGCTGGTGTTGGTGCTGCTGATTAGGTGGTGGCGGTGGGTGATGCTGCTGTTGTTGATGGTAGTGATGTTGTTGTGGCTGTTGTTGGTGATGGTGGTGGTGCTGCAATGGATCGCCGCCTGGCATCATCTTCGTCTACGGCGAAAATTAACACTGCTACCCTAGCCCGTATAATAATAATAATAATAACATAGATTTAACATCCAGATTTGAGACAGGGTGAAAGAAATTGGTTAATGTTAGCGGGAAGTTTAATTGGGGAATTTCGTGTTAGGGTTTAAGAACTTCGTCATACAGTCCTTACGACCGTATCCCTGGATTTGGTGCCCAGTATTCATCATTACAGTGTATTTTATTAAATTTATTAAAGTAACGATTAAATAATGCACCCTTCATCTGCAAAATTTAATAGAGTTAAGAAAATAGGGTATTTTCGATTTGGATTTATGTGGAATACATTGAAATAAATATGTTTGAAATATTTAATAGATTTTTATTCTTACTTATTTGGATAGATTTTAATGGATTTTAACAGATTTCGATGTATAAAAACATTCTACCACAAATCTTGTAGAATTTCTCAGATTTCAAAATCCATAATCTTTTAAAATCCATCCAAAACCTTTTTGGGGACACCTCCTTTAGTTATATTTACGAAAATTGTCAAATACATTCTTGTACTATTACTAAAAAGTCAATTGAGTTTTAATGCTTTTAAATTAATCAATTGAGTCCCCGAAGTGTTGAAAAACAACCAAATTAGCTTTTTATTAAGTTGACAACCGGTACCTCGTCATTACTCGCCTACGTGGAAATCTAGCCAGATTTTTTTTTACTATTTTCTACTCCGTATTTTCTTTTTTCTTTTTTAGATATTGACCTAGATAAGAGTAAAACATAGGAGTAGTTCCAAAATATGACCTTATGTTTTTATTTTCAAATAAGGAGTACACATTCCTACTCTACCAAGTACCAACTCACTATTTTTTCTCGGTACCTCCACACTGTCTCTCCTTTCTTTTCCCAACGGTCTCATCTCTCATCTTTCTTCATCCTCCCACCCCCCTCTCTGCTCCCATATCTTCTTCTCCCACGGAGTATGGACTCCAATTTTTCTCCTCAACTTAGCAATTGGTGGATGGCGACACACATGTAAGAGCTCGTTTGGTAATACTCAAATCGAATGTATTGTCTGATTCTACTTAAAGTTATGAAGTGTTGAGTGAAGTTGTTGGATTGACTGATTCTGCTTATTTACTAAAAATTATATTTAAAATATATTATATTAATAAAATAAAGAAAAAATAATATAGAAAATAGTTAAAATGATCATCTGGAGTTACTTCAGCCAATACACTCAGAAAAGTAACTTCAATCTCATTTTTCTTATTATTACACAATTCAGCGTGCGAAATCAAAAATTATGTGTTTGATGAAAAAGTTGACTAATAAGCCAAATAAACTGAAAAACGGGTTTACCAAACGGGTCTTAAGTGTTTTCTTCTTCCTCCTTCTCTTCTTCCTCTTCTTTCTCTACTTCTTACTTTTCATCTTCTTCCTATTCATATTCTCCTCTATTATCCTCGTTCTCCTTGTCCTAGTACTCTGTTTTCTCCATCTCTTAGTTCTTTTGAATTTTTTTGTTAATTTTATTTGTTCAATTTTGAGATTTAAAATAAAAATAGATATTTAGATATGAATTTTTTGGATTCGAAAAATGAGACTTTAATGATCGGTTATCTCAAGTTAAAGTTTTGGATCTAATTTTTTTCATTTCATTCATTTCAGTTTATTTGTTTTCTATAAGCATTTGCAATCTGGAGATGTCAATTTGAAATACAATGCCATTTTAAAATGGCAATATCAATCTATCTAAAATACATCAACTTTAGTGCCATGATCAGGACCGGTCTTGTCTATTTTCGGGTCTTTGGGCGAGATAATATTTTGGACTTATATTTAAGACAAATAATAAACTATATTTATTTAAAATAATAAGTGTAATAAAATTATCTAATAAAGGTTATTAAATAAAAATGAAACTCATTTTATTATTATTATTTAAATTCCATATTTGGTGAAAAATAACAACACAAGTATCACACAAAAAAAAGAAAAACATTACTTACAAACTTTTCTCGCGAAATTTTCAAGATTCAATTTCTTTTCAAAAACAAAATTTTCTATTGATCCCTTCTAACTTAACCATGTCTTTTCTAATCTTCTCTCTCTTTCTCTCTCTTACCATCGAATGGTAGCTCTTAGGATCCGCTTCTTTATAGTAATTTCTCTGGTTGGTGTGCTAGTCCTTCTTCCTTTGAATTATTTTGGGAGTAATGGGCAATATAAGAGCTACCATTCGATGGATTCTTTTACAATATCTAATATCGAAAGTGGCTCTAACAGGTAATACCCATATCAATTTTACTTCCAGATTAGGCTCACAGTTTTTAATGAGCAATTAACGTTGAGTTATAAACCGTGCACTTAAAAGTTAAACATATTCTAATTGTGGATAGAAATATATCTCAATTGAATATGGTGGGTTTTATAATGTTCTAATCTTCAATGGGGTTAATTTTAGATGAATGTGAACCGTAACGAGATTCACACGTAGAATTAATCACAATCTCGCTGCCGTAACAGGAGTTAGAATACTTTAGTGACATTCCACTCATAAGAATTGGTGAAAAAACATATATTCATTACTAGGAGTCGTTTAGGAGTAATCTCGAACCCTTGGTTGCTTTTATTATCCTTTGAAAACAAAAAAAAATCTCTACCCGTTTTGCTAAGTCTTTTACAAAAACTCTTTCCGAATTTGAATCATATAAACAACGTTTCCTCGTGTTCGACCCGGTATTTTTACCAGATTTTATTACTACATTGGCACTTGTACACTTGCAAGTTTTAGCCGATCACGTGCCGGGCCACATCATAATTTTTTCCCTCTTCTTCTTTGTTTTCTTGTTTTTTCTTCTTTTTATTTCCCTTCTTCCCCATTTCTTTCTCTTTCCCCGCCCCCCATGCTTTTATGCGCAGACCATTTTTTTCTTGCGCAAGCCTGGCTCTTCCTCCACGGCCTTAATTTCTGGCCACATATTTACCATTCCCGGATCTCTTCCTTGAACGAAGGATTCGAAATCACTCCTTTCAAGACTAAGCCAGGGGACATCCAGAACGGCAAACAACTCTTCGGCATCCTCGTTATTCACCACAATTCCAAAAAACGAGATGGATTCATGAGCTTGGTGGCACCGGTGAAGGTGGGGAAGAGGGACATGAAAGAGAGTTCATCAGTGCTCTCGATTGTAATAGCGTATTATTATTGTTATTATTATTAAGGACCATTATGTAAATACTTTATCTTATTAATATAAATACAAGGTCAGGGCTACCATATTGGTAAGCCATTATTCCCATAATATTTTACATGGTATCAGTCGTTGTTATTCCCTTTTATGGGAATAAAATGGGTTATTTACATTTTCCTCATTAAGTCCTGAATGGATTAAGATGTGTGTCTGCATTAAGCTGTCTGTCTGGATTAAGTTACACTGAGATAACAAGTTGTTTACTAAATGTGCTGAATGAGACGTCTGAATCATGTCTAATTACCAAATAACCCTCATGTTTGTAACTAGTGCTAAATGTATATTGTCTGTTTACTTTCTTTGTTATGAAAGATAAAATTTATATACCAGAAAATACTAATTCTATGAATTACTTACATAAAAGAGTCATATTGCATGATAAAACAAGGTCTCCATATATTGTAGACTTGTGTACCCCATTGTGCTCCATGTATTTCCTCTCTAATGTCTTCAACTTCCTCTTGTGCTTGATTGTTGATTACATTGTCATTATCCCATTCATCGAAGAATTTATCATCGATGTTAGATTTCCTAATAAAATTGTGAACCACATTGTGCTCCATGTACTTCCTCTTCATTGTGCTCCATGTACTTCTTCTTCATTGTGCTCCATGTACTTCCTCTCCAATGTCTTCAATGTCTGCTACGACACCTTGTTCCATACCTAAAGAATGAAGTAGGTTTGTTCCAATAATTTAAAAATGTTAAATAAAGTTACGTTGTGTATGACAATCAAATATAAGTGTTGTAAAGTTTTCCTAATTCAAATAATGATCTAGAAATATGAAATGACTTTAAATGTCAAAGATTGACAAAGATCTGCTTGATCTGATAACAAGTTGAAGGAGAAATTCTAGTTTTTGTATCAAGTGTTGCTTGATCTGATAACAAGTCAAAGATTATATTTTAAATGTCTGAAAAAAAACATAAAAACAGAAAATAAACATACACACTCTTTGAGTGTAAAACAACCAATTCAAAGATTGCATATAGAAAATAAAGCAAAACAAATAAGAATATGAACATAAAACAAAGCAACTACTGCTTTTGAGTGTAATAATGGATTAATGGGTGAGATGTCACATATGAATTATGCAGTATGCTAAATCAAAGATAATTTAGTTTGTGCCTCTTTCAAGTGTATGAGTCAATAGACTGCCACAAAATTGCGAAGCAAACACATAATAATGTTAAATAGGGTTTAACACTCATTAATGTTTAATTAAAAACAGTAATGTAAGCATATTGTTTGTTAACCTTTGCCCCACACTAGAAGTTTTCCTCATGCTCTATCTCAATTTGAAACCTATTAAACAATACCTAGACAAAAGTATATACAACTATCGAACCCTGAGTGTAATAAACATAAATAAATATAAAATCAAATGCATTCTAAAACAAGAAATTCAGAATTATCAAGCTTAAGTTCAATTCATCCAAGTTCCAAGCTCTAGCTTAAATCCAGTTCATTCAAGGAATAAACTCACCCAGTTATTCTAAACTTTGATTACGATGATCATTTATTTCTGGTAACTTTGTTTCAGAATGACAGAATAACTTATACCAGGCAAAAACAGTAGCTCTCTCAAACATTTCACACCTACCTAGAAAAATGAAATGGCAAACAAGAGCCTTAAACCAACACATTCTCCACACCGCATAAACTCTGATTCTTACCCTAAGGCTCCCCTCATTTCAGAAAAATAGGAAAACACTTTCCAGGAAGAACTCTTGGAGAAATTGAGTAAAAAAAGAGAACAATGAACACAAGTTTAGGAGAAATTGAAAACAAAACAGAGAAAAACTACTAAATACAAAAATTAAAGGAAATACAAATATGGAGAAGGTGAGGGATGAGAGCCGAAGATGGAGAGAAATGTGTTGGTTGGTGGACCGGCTATGGACTATGTGCACAGCTCTTGGGCGGCCGAAGAAGAGATTATGGAAGAGGAAGTTTAGAAAAGGGAACGAGGGTTAAAAAAGAAAGAGGCGTCTGAACGGTTGTCTGGATAGTAAGGAGTATTGAATTTGGGCTGAACCATTAAGTTAAAAATGGTTTGAGCGAATAAGTCTTGTTTTAAAATATGTCCTAAGTAAACAAGAGTGTATGGCTGACCGAATAAATCGTTGTTTCCATTCAGACCATTAAGTTGAAAGTAAATGACCCCTTAGTTTCAAACCCTGACACCTATTCACGATGAGCAATCCTCTGCTCTCTTCCGTGACGCCCTCACCGACGGTGCAGCCGTCCATCACCTCTGCTTCGTAGCCACTAGTCATATTCGGCACCAACATCTCAACCTCTGATGTTACTAGTTACTACCTTCGAGCAAGGCTCTTCCTTCGGCACGACGTCTTCTTCTCTTCCTTCACCATCACGATTCACGCTGCCTCCACCGCCGGTTCCTAGTTCGTACAAGTTGTTTAATATGCCCGAATCATTATCTTGGGCTCCCACTAGGTCTGCACAGCCTGCTCTGCCTGCTCACCATGCTACTGCCATGCCTCCGATTCCTGGACAGCGTGTTCCAGTGCCCTTCTCTGGCCCAACATTTTCAGGACAACCTGGGATACAACCGCCAGAAGGTTCTTCACCGTCCAGACTGCCCGGTTTTACGGTAACACCCACATCTCTTTCTACATTATCATCCAAATTATCATTCTCAACACCCAACGTTTCCAATATTGTCACTACTCGTTTGGATGCGGTTGAGGATTACTTGCCATGGCGTACTCAATCTGAGTCCTTCATGGTCTCTCATGGCTTATTGGGCATCTTAGACAGTACTATTGCAGCCCCCACGCCTACTACTTTTGATAATCTTCATCGAGAAATTCCTAACCTGGAATATCATTATTGGCTCAAAATTGACCAAACCGTTCGGTCATGGTTGTTTGCTACTCTTTCCCGTAATATTTTAATTGAGGTGCATGATTTACGATTTTCTGCTTTAATATGGGAGCGTTTGGATAGTCGCTTTATGCAAGCTAGTTTAGCCCGAGCCATGGAACTCAAACGACTTTTATCCTCTTTAAAGAAGAAGGAATCTCAATGGATGGATGAATATTTACGGGAAATCAAAATTCTTGCGGATGCATTAGCTATGATAAATTGTCCTGTTAGCAACCATGATCTTCTTCAGTCCGCTATCACAGGATTGGGAAGGGGTTATGGGTCTCTCATTACCTCAATTACCCTCTTTCCATCTTATTTTACACTGGATTCTCTGCGTCATCATCTCTTGGCATTAGAGCAGAGGCTATTTACCTCCGGAGTGAAGAAAATCAACCTGAACACCAGGCCTTTGCTGCCACAGATCACACAGGCAATGCAGCTCGTCCACCAGCTCGTGCAGGGGGGCAGCAACGTAATAATGGTGGTCGGGGCAACCACCGTGGTGGCAGAGGCAGGGGTCACCGCGGTCGAGATTGTGGACAACACGGGGATGCTTACGGTGGTCCACCGGGTGTTGCTTATGGCGGTTCTCCTGTTACACATACGGCCGGCAGCTACAGGGGCAGCAGGGTTGGCCACCGGGTCCGCGTGGGCAGTCCATTCTCGGAGTTCCAGGTACGGCTATTTGTAATTCTCGTCGCGTTTTATCGGGTACTAATGCATTATTTTATTATGGTACTCACCTTTATTCTACAGGTTTTTCATCAGCTGAGACTTCTTTTCAGTCTCCTCCACCCCCTGTAGTTTGTCAGCTATGTTTTTCTTCAGGTCACTATGCTCTTAATTGCGCCCGCTTCACAAATAACTCTACACCAACACTGGCGACTTTTCCTACGGGTGAATCGAACGAGTCTGTATGGTATCCTGATTCTGGAGCATCGGCTCATATGACGCCACACGAAGTTATTCTTTCTAATAAATTTATTTCTCCTGGCTCATTTTCTGTTCAAGTTGCTAATGGTACTCGAATCCCAGTTTTTAAAATTGACAATATTAATTTATCTACACTTGGTCGCCCGCTTAAATTAAATACTATCTTTCATGCTCCGCATCTCAAGTATAATTTATTATCTACTCAGCGTTTATGTGCGGATAATGATTGTTCAGTAATTTTTAATAAAAATTCTTTTTCTGTTAAGGACAACCACACAGGAACCATTCGACTCCAGGCCTCCAGTAAAGACTGTGTCTACCCTTTTCAAGCCATCCAACCGTCCACATCCTCTCCTGCTTTAAAGACTACACTAGTTCCGGGCCCTGTTTGGCACAAACGCCTTGGACATTGTGGGGATCGTGTCTTGTCTCTTCTTATGAAAAATAATTTAATTTTTGGTACTAGTAATTTTTCTCATAATTGTGTTTCATGTAAACTGGGCAAGTCCCACCGTCTTCCCTTTCATGATGTTTTTCATACTTGCACTGCTCCTCTACAACTCATTCACTCTGATGTTTGGCAGTCACCTGTTTTATCAAATTTAGGATTTAAATATTATGTTTCTTTTATTTATGATTTCTCTCGTTTTACTTGGATTTATCCTTTGCGTTACAAGTCTGAAGTTTTTACTATTTTTTGTCATTTTTAGAAACTTGTAGAAAATTTATTTAATTGTAAAATTAAATGTTTTCAGAGTGATGGAGGGGGTGAGTTTGTCAATTCCTCTTTTCACTCTCATTTTCTAAATCATGGCATTCTTTTTTGAAAATCATGCCCGGACACTCCTGCACAGAATGGTGTGGCAGAACACAAACATAGACATTTACTTGAATTGTCAAGAACCATGCTTATAGACTCTCATCTTCCTTCTTCCTTTTGGGTTGATGCTCTCTATACCGCTACTTTCATCATTAATCGTCTGTCAACACCTACTTTGCATGGTCTGTCTCCGTATGAGAAACTTTTTAACAAATCTTCAGATTACAATTTTTTACATGTGTTTGGTTGTGCGTGCTTTCCTAACATTGTTGCTAGTTCTTCAAATAAGTTGTCTCCACGGTCTATACATTGTGTCTTTCTTGGGTACACTCCGGGGTATAAAGGTAATTGTTGCCTGGATCCCCGGACTGGCCGTGTCTATATAAGCAGGGACGTCCAATTTCTTGAACACCTTTTTCCCTATCCCAGTCTCACGCACTCACCACCACCACACTCCCCTCCCCTACGGCCATGGAGCACCACTCTCACTGCTGACCCGATCGGGCAGCCCTCGAGTGGCCACACATTACCCATCCTACCTCTGCCTTCCCCACCAGCCGCACCCCAAGACACCCCAATTCGCTCTCCCCTAACTCACTCTACTGCCACTACCCCTTTGCAGCCTCAGCCGACACCATTGACCCGGACTCCAGACTCCTCAGCCGACAGCTCACCTCACACCACACCAGCCACACCCCGGTCCTCCTGTAACACCCCCAAATTTCCCTCCCAAAATAATACTTAAGTAAATAGCGAACTTTTATTACTTATTTGAAACTTCCAAATTCTTGCAGCGGAAATAAACCATAACATGAAAAAGGGGCGTGTTACCGCCACACCCAGCCCTAAACTGACTGGATGCTAAGGCTAACCGCCATAAATGTATCTATTTAAATTCAACAGTCGAAACAGTAAAATCTAACAGAGTTTATTCTAAACGAGACTACTCTAAGAGTCTTCAGGAGCGCTCTCAAGGCATCAATCTTCAGATATCACACCATCTGTAACATAAGAAAATAAAAGAAACAAATAACACAAAAATTAGCTTTCGCTAAGTAAATCCCACCCAACCCCGTAAAATAATAGTTTTGTTGAAAAATAAGCATTTGTATATAATATATACAAAAACGAGTTTCCAATAATTTTGTTTCAAAAAGAGTGATAACATTTTCAAAAGGCTCCTTCAATAATTCTTGTAAGTATTTCAAAGAAAAATTCTCCAAGTACAAAAATATTTGTTTTTCCTCAAAATAGCTTTATAGCTACTCCTCCTAGTCATTTAGACGGGCGGTGCTCAAGCGTTACCTCGATTCCTGAGCCCAGTGAACCGTTGTTTTGTACGGTCACTCCGATCTCCTCTCGGTACCTCATCTCCTCTATTAGAATCTAGACTTCTACCTTAAGTGTGCACACCCCCTAAAGGGATTCCAAGCCCTCCGAGTAGTACGAAGTCTAAGTAGTTCTGACGTCAACGTCTCCCTACTCCAAATGGGATATACTCCCTAAGTTCTAGGTTCAAAGACCCTTAAGAGAATAGGTACTACTACTACTGCTCTAATAAAAGGGATCTAATGCCCAATTGCTCGGGGTAATTACCGAACCCTCCAAATTCATTTAATTTATTTTAAACCTCTCAATTCAAGTAGTAGTAGTCCTAACCCTCCCTCACCATTAACGGTAGTGAAGGTGGCCCGACACCTACGGATTTCTCCCGCGGTGCCCCCAATTATGAACACAGTCTTTTATCTTGTCTTTCCAAAAAATCTCATATTTATGTCTCTTGGACAGAATTTCACCACAAGGATTATTATCCTTATATTCTTAACTTTATATCTTCCCAAAATATCTCATGTATACATATAATCCAATATATCTCAAAATCACAACAATACAACTTGTTCACAAATTAATCATTCAAAATATTCATACCATCATCACATATCAAGCAAATAATTATTTACGAGGAAAAATATAATTTTGGTTGCAATGTGACTTACCTCAAATTCGGTGCTCCTATCTTTCTTCTTCTATCCCGGCTTCTAAAAATCCACCTTTTAATTAAGATGGTATAGTTAGCCACTTATTCTATATTTTTTTTAATAACTTATCCAATCTTCCCTTTTATTTTATTATTCTAATTTTACTAACAAGATTAATTAATCATTCGAATTTATTTTATCCGCTAATCACTTTTTTTATCACTCACTTTATACTAATCCACATTAGCACAATTAGTAAATCCGATTATAAAAATTAACTAATCATAGTTAACTTAATCTGATTTTATTAATTTACTCAACACTTATTCTTTCCGAGTCCGTAATTATGTAAATTTCTATTAATCCAATAATTAGTGAAAATAATATCTATCCCACTTTATTTAATCTAATTATGGTACTAAGTCCAAATAAATGATTAATATTTTAATAACATGTTCGTTTGTTCATTTTTATTAACTACACCATCGACTCATTTTATCATTTAACATTATGTAATTATGACAAATAACAATTAACAAACTTACCGAAGTGATTACTAACAATCAACCAAGCCGGTTCCACCATTAGTATTTCTCATTTCAAATTTATCAGTTTTGCAGATTATTATTATTATTATTAATATTAATATTATTATTATTATTATTATTATTATTATACAAAGCGTTAAGATTGCAGTTTAATAATCCAACAGTTATTATTTTTAACCATCCATAACTAAAATTGTCGGCGCTATTCTTCTTATTATTTCTACTAGTGATAACCTTATTATTACTCATATCCTTGCTTTACGAGACTGTTAATCAATGTTATTATTATTATTTGTTTCCTTTCGAGCAGTCCATTTACAACAGATTAATCAGTCTAATCAATTACTAGTGAATCACCCTAGTTTCTATTTTAAACAGTCCGTCCATGAATTAAACTAAGGGTGCAGTCCAAACTAGTTAAAGGGAAAGGTCTGTCAACTTCTTCGCATGTATATGCCGGAAAAACGAAGTTACGCCGGTATGGGAGCTTACCTCGTTTTGCAGCGTAAAGAAGATCTGCAGACAGTCCCCCGACGCACAGCACAGTCCGGCAGCTTTTGGTGATGCGGCGGCGTTTAGTGGCAGGTCGATCCGGCGGAAATCTGCAGCGCACGTACCTCTCCAGCGAACTCCGGCGCTCCACGATCAGCCTCTCTTCTCCTTCCGTCACCGTCTTGCTCTCACGTTTCCTCTCTATTTCTTTTTTTTCTTCTTTTTTTTTTCTCACTTGTTCTCTCTCGTTTTCTCCCTGCAACGCAGGTTGTTGGCGGAGGTTTTGTGCAGCGTAGATTGATCGCAGAGCTGCTATTTATATAGCTCATTGATGGTTCTAGCTAGACGTACATTAATATGTTAAGAATCTCCGGCCATTAATATCAATAACCACGGTTTCCTTCTAGCGCATGTACTCATTTTGTTATTATTATTATTAGTAAGTGCTACGCAGACCTACAACGTACACAGCTCTTATACATGCATGTTGTGTAAGTATTTTATCATGTGTAATAAAAGTAATACGTTAAAAGATATTTTGCATTTAACTACTTCCGGTTATTTAGCTTTCCATTGTAACGCGGCACTCCTAAGGAATGCAATATGAGAAGCGTTGATATCGTACTTTAGGTATAATCATATGTACCTAGTTAGTGCTTTCCTTATTATTGTTGCTCTATGTATTTTTCCTTTTTAGCTGCAGTAGTGTTTAACACTTCGTGGAAGTGACATGGTCACGAATATTAAACTTGTACGTAGAAGACTTTCCATTTTTATTTTTAAGCATGGCTAGGAGTATTAAACTTGTATCTATTGTTGAGATTTAGCCGGTTATGAGGTTCATCATTTACATGGTAGTTTGAATAGTCAACTTAAATTTAGTTTTTTTAAATTGTTTTAAAATGTGCTACATTATTATGTTTATAAAACGTGACTTTTAATATTTGTCATATGTGTAACCATTAATGTTACAAAATTGTCACTTTCATTATTATCATAAAAATGTTACTTCCATCGTTGAATTATTTTTATCTGTCATAAATTTTGAAGTTTTGTTTGATTCACTTGATTATTAAAATCTCACTTTTGTAATAATTTATCCCAAAAATAAAAATATTTTATTTATTTAAATTTTTGGAGTGTCACATTCTACCCTCCTTAAAAGATGCTTCGCCCCGAAGCATATATAGGCTAATACCTACTATCGATAGGTACAACATAACTAAGTGTTACACCTCCTAGTAGCAACCCATCATCACCCTCGGTCTCACCTATAGCCGACCAGTATATCTCCGTCTCACCTCCCTGAATGGATCCCAATATTCACCCCATGCGCACTAGAGCTAAAGATGGTATTTTTAAACCTAAAAATATGTTTACTCTTAATACTTTAGCTCTTCCAAGTGATCCCACATGTTTTTCACAAGAAAATAAAAGTTTTATTTGGCGGGCTGCCATGGCTAATGAATTTAATGCTCTCATTGCTAATAAAACTTGGGAATTAGTGCCTTATGACTCGAATAAAAATGTGGTTTGGTGCAAATGGATTTATAAGACAAAATATCGTTCTGATGGTTCTATAGAGTGCCATAAGGCTCGTTTAGTTGCTCAATGGTTTAATCAACAGGCTGGGATAGATTTCTCCGAGACTTTTAGTCATGTGGTTAAACCTACTACTGTTTGTCTAGTCCTCTCTGTTGCTATTTCTCTAGGTTGGCCCGTCCGTCAATTGGATGTTAAAAATGTCTTTCTTCACGACAACCTCACTGAGGAAGTCTATATGCGTCAGCATCCGGGTTTTATTCATCCTTCCTATCCCCATCATATTTGTCGTCTACGTAAAGCTCTTTATAGTCTTAAGCAAGCTCCAAGAGCTTGGTTTCACCGGTTCAGTGGCTTCCTTCTCTCTCAAGGTTTTTCTCGGAGTCAATCTGACTCCTCCATGATCACTTTTCGCTCTCAGACCCGGGTACTATATACTTTATTGCATGTAGATGATATTCTTATCACGGGTAGCTCTCAGGCCCTCGTTGATCATTTTATTTTTCTTTTGTCTAAACAATTTGCTATGAAAGATTTGGGTAGTTTACATTATTTCCTTGGCATACAAGCCCTTCGTACTCCCAAAGGTTTATTTTTGTCACAACATAAATATGTTTCTGAACTTTTACGCCGTTTTCATCTCCAAACGGTCAAATCTGTCAAAACTCATCTACCCTCTTGCACCACATTATCTCTAACTGATGGAGAACTTTTGAGTGATGCTACTGAGTATCATAGTATGGTAGGTGCGTTACGGTACTTGACTATTACTCGACCTGATATTACTTATGTCATTCACCTGGTTTCTCAGTTTATGCACGCCCCACGTACTACTCATTTGGCTGCTGTTAAGCATATTTACAGGTATTTACAAGGTACTTTGACACATGGTTTGTGGCTTCGGTCTGGTCAGAAGATTTCGGTGGTTGTTGCCTACTCAGATGCTGATTGGGATGGATGCCCAGATAGTTGTCGCTCCACCACTGGATATGCTATTTTTTGGGAGGCAATCTTATTTCTTGGAGATCCAAAAAACGACCGACTATCTCCAAGTCATCTACCTAAGTCGAATATAGAGTTGTGGCATACACCGTTCAAGATACGTTGTTCATTCGTTCTCTCCTGGCAGATATGGGCATCTTCATTTCTGATCCGGTTAAGTTATTATGCGATAATGTCTCTGCTTCTTATCTTGCAGTTAATCCTATTCAGCATGATCGTAGTAAACACATCAAAATTGATTACCATTTTTTTGAGAACGAGTAGCTCATGGGGATCTCGTCGTCAAATACATTCCTACTCAGTTTCAGCTTGCAGATATCTTCACAAAGAACCTGACAAGCCAACGTTTTGAGTTTTTACGTTCCAATCTGCACGTAGTTTCCCCCACACAGATTTAGGGGGTGTAATAGCGTATTATTATAGTTATTATTATTAAGGGCCATTATGTAAATACTTTATCTTATTAATATAAATACAAGGTCAGGGCTACCACATTGGTAAGCCATTATTCCCATAATATTTTACAGATTCCAGACGGCGGGCCAAATCAAACTTGGAATAAGAGTTCCGTTATTGATGTTTTTCGGGAATGGAAGGCCGATGAGGGAGATGATGTTGTTGGCGAGGTCGGAGAGGGATTTGGAGAAGATGGGTTGGTTCGCACTTCGCATGTGATGTAGAATGAAAGAAAGGGGAACGGGAAAGAGAAATAAAGAAAGAAAGGAAGAAATATGGAGTTGGAGACAAAGTCCTTCTTTTTCTATCACGCCTTCGTCTTTTTCCCGGCAAACTGAGATCACGATGGGAAGGACCATTCGAGGTGATCAAAGTCTACTCCCACGGAGCGGTTGAAATAAAGAGCCTCGACACCGGCAAAATCTTCAAGGTTAACGGACATCAACTCAAACCGTTCCTTGAAGGTTTCCAAAAAGAAAGCGTTGAACGCATGGATCTCTTCGATCCAATCTATAAAGAATGAACACAACCATGGCGTCGTGCCGCGATGTTAACTAAGGCGCTTCTTGGGAGGCAACCCAAGCAAGGTACGTGATTTTTTATTTCCCTATCAAAGTTCCAGTTTCTGTTTTGAGAGGGTGAGAGAGGGGCACTAATCGCATGTTTTGGAAGGAAAATGCAGGTTTGAAGTATCTGGGGACATACCTGATCGAGTACCACCTTAGACTCGGTCGGGTATGGCTAAAAAAGGGGAATCGAATCACTACTCGATCGAAGGAATTTTTTTTTTCAAGAATACATGTATGCTCGATCGGGTACAATCCCATACCCGGTCGAGTGTTCATAAAAAGGCAAAGCTAAAAGGGACCTGCCCCGGACACTCGATCGAGTACGGGGTTCAAATATTGCAAAAGGAAGAATACTCGATCGGGTATCACTACACACCCGCTCGAGTATGTTCAGAAGGACGAAACCAAATAGAGCCTGCTCCCAACACTCGACCGAGTACAAGGCTCAAAATGTGAAAAAAGAAACATGCCCGATCGAGTATGACTATACACCCGGTCGGGTATTGTTGGAAATTCAAAAGCCCAAACAAACTGTCTCCAGTATCCGATCGAGTATGGCAAGATACTCGGTCGAGTATGGCTGGAAAATCGAAGTCCTGAACAAACTATCTCCGGTACCCGATCGGGTATCACACAATACTCGATCGGGTATACCTGCGTTTTAACCCTAAAACAGCCCGAATCACTTCATCTTCCCCAATTTCCCAACCCAATTTTCGAACCCCTCTTCCCCAAACTCCATTTTAAAACCTTCTCTCTACCATATCTCACTCATTTCTCCATCAAATCACCCCATTCTTCCACCAAAATACTCCCCTCACCTTCCTCTACACACCCATACCCATAAACCCAATTTTCCCACAATTTCCAAAGGTCCGAAAAAACCCTAACCCACTTTCGAATTTTCCCAATTTCAAGCTCCAAATCTACAAAAATGACACAAGGAAAGGACAAAGGGCAGAGCTCAAGGGCTATGGAACCCATCTCGGGCTACGAGGACCTCATTTTCGTCGACAACGAACACCGAGCTTGGTTCATCACTACAATTACTAGGCAAGTAAAACCTTCCCGTTTTTTATGCCATGATGCTCTCTGTGAACTAGGCATTTATAGGAGTACCAAGCAATTCTTTCGTGAGTTGGACATGAACCGTATTTTCAAAATGAAGTACAACTCTAACGAAAGAGTTGTCTATGAATTCATGAGCTCGGTGAAGTTTGAAAGCAATGAGGGTGATTTTAGAGATGACAAACTCACATTTCGTTTGTTTAACCACACCTATTCAATAACGAAGCTTGAGTTTGCCGAACATTTTGGCATCTCAACCCCTACGAAAGAGCCATCTCCGACAACACCATTTTTGGTCATTCACTGTGGACCAAGATGACCGGAGGAATGAACTTTAGCTCCTCCCAACTATATATTAGTCATGTCCAACACCCCGTCCTCCGGTTGTTCTTGAAGGTTTTAGCAAACTGCTTGCTTGGGCACCCCAACAATCACCACACTAGGATGGGGGATGTGTGCTTGATGTCGGTGGCTCTATTTCGTCGTCATGTGGACTTTAACCTGTGCAATCTCATGTGGGCACATTTAAAAAAGGAAAGCACAGTGAGGGGGGCAATTGTTTTGGGTGGGGTGGTTATGCATTTGGCAAGTAAGTTCGGGTATACGGATAACTCTCCTATACCCGATTATTGTTTGATGAACATGGCTTGGTTAGGCCATTCGGGATGCACAGCTTTTTCCCACATGGTCTATGGTGATGAACAACCGAAGAACATACACCCCAAGCCTATCAAACATTTCCTCATGCCTAGCTCAGACCTTCCCAAACTACTCTACAAAGTAGAGGTAGAGGTGCCCCATTACCTATTCCCACACGCCCTTCCACCACATCTCCAAGAACCGCAACAAGAGCCACTCCAATACCAACCCGAGAATGCACCTTATGCCGAACCCCATGATCATGAAGACATGGACATCCCCGAGCAGCACCAAAACCCTCCTCCACCTAACTATTTCCAACAAATCTTGGAGGGTCAACAACAAATAATTGCCGGGTACAACCAAATGAACACCAACTATATCAACATGGGAGAACGGCTCAACCAAGTGCAGGAGGAGCAAAGGGCAGGTTTTCAACGGATGGAGGAGCTCCAGGAAGCCGGCAGGCATCGATATGAAGAGGATCAACGTAGGTTCTACGGACCTATATACTCTTACATAGCCCATCACGGATCCTTTCAGACTATGGTGAACCCCCCTCCACCACCCTCGTGGTATGACCCCACTCATTGGGGTAACTTTGGAGGATCTAGCTCCGGGGGTGGAGGGTACGATGGCAGAGATGGCGGGGACACATACATGGGAGATGGCGGGAGGGGGAGCGGCTTCGGAGGCAGCTTCTATGGCGGAGAAGGCGGGCACTAGGGAAAGTGCTTGGACTAAGTGTGGGGGAGAGACTCCTCATGGTATGTAATTTTATTTCTTACCTTTCACTACGCATGAATTTCTTTTACCCTTGATACACACAAAAAAAATAAAGAAAAAAAAGAATAAAGAAAAGAAAAGAAATGCTAGTTAGGTTGAAAACCCAACAAAAATGGGTAATCTAAGCAAAAAGTGCTTATAAAAAATGAGTGAGTTCGGGAGAATGGAAAATAAAAAGAGATGCTAGGATGAAAATCTGAAAAGGCTCCTAGGCAAAATGAGAGATATGAGAAAAATATTTGTTTTTTCAGGCACTCAATTCATCTCTCTGGAGAATAAGAAGATTCAAAAAGAAGAAGAAGAGAGGAGAAGAAGAGAAGATAAGCACTAGAATGCCATAAAACCCAATATGATATTTGAAATTTGAGCTTAAAACTCATGTTTTATCCTTGATGGACTTTGTGTTTTTATCTTGTTAAAATTGTTGAAACTTTGGAAGACTTGACACTTGTGACCATTTGACTTTACTCGAGGACGAGTAAAGAAACTAAGTGTGGGGGAGTTGATAATCATGTAATTTTCATGTGTATGTTTGTATTTTTAATTAGTTTTGATTGATTTTTACTTTGGAAATTACACACTTTTGGTGTAATAGTTTAGTTTGTTAAATTCTTGTAAATTGTTTAGATTAGGTTTATTCTGAGCTCAAACGGGTCTTGATAAGGTGAACCCCAAAAGTGGAAGAAAGGTGCATAATCTCAAGACAAAATAAGGATCCCGAATTTTTTGTCTATACCCGGTCGAGTATCATCTATACTCGATCAGGTATCTTGTTGAAACTTCAAATCGGATCGGATCCGAATGCAAAGGAACATGCAGGGAAGATTTTGACCATGATCGAGTGTCTATACCCGATCGGGTAGGCCGACATACCCGATCGGGTATGCATTTGAATTTAACACCAAATTCGGTCGAGTATAGCTCGAATATCATTTTCTACACATAGTCGATCGGGTATAAAAACACACCTGATCGGGTATACCTATAGAATATAGCCCAGAACCGATCGAGTATGCTTCGAAGTTGACGTTTTACACATACCCGATCGGGTACCGTGTATATACCCGATCAGGTACCCGAACTGCATCCCAAAAGCCTATAAATACACCTCCTTTCCTTCACAATAGGAACCAATTCCTATATACTTCTAAGCTCAGTCTAGAATAGTTCTTTCTTTATATTTTCTTCATGTTTAGTCTTCAAATGAGGAGCTAAACTCTTCCACCTTGGTTTTGCTACTTTGAAGCTTAATGAATTTGTAAGTTGTGAGTTATTTTCTTTGATCTTCTTCCTTGAATATTAATTACTTCCTATTCATATTCCATATTAATATTTTGAGCATTACTTTAAAGATCAACTAGTTTTGTTTCATCTATTAATTATTACTAGAATCAATCGGTTAATATGCTTGTTATTAATTCGGTTCCTTCAAAGGTAGTAAACTTGGATTGTTAATGCATGCATCTCATGGTTAATAAGCCAAGGGGAATTAATTATATTGATTAAACCAATAAACCGCTTGTGTTGAGGTTATCAATCTCAATCGTTTTCATCTTAAGCTTATTGCTACTATCAAATTAATATACGACGCTTGTTCTATATGTTGCGTGTGTTTCGGAAAATAAAGAAAATTAATTAAAATAAATTAATTAAATAAAATGACTAGAGAAAAAACAAGAAAGAAGATGAAGCAGAATTAGCCAAAGCTCGTGCTACGCACGATTTCCTTAAAACGTATTTGTTGCCTCCCACGGTGCTAGGAGCGTTGCAACAATCGTTTCCCAGGATACGATGACTACGAACTAATGTTTGAGCACACAAACAAGAGTTCCAGCGAACGAGAACCGAGTATGAACACAGAGGAATTCTTGGGAATAGCTGGAAGAGTTTTTAGCTCAAGAAAACGTGAGGAAAGTGTTCTGCGTTGTCAAAAACCGTGTGTTTGTTGCAAAGCACCTGCCAGCTATTTATAGGAGGATTTGTTGTGTGTTAAATGGGGTGTTAATGGACCTGAGAGAACAAATAAACGTTCGGGAAGAAAACAGAAATTAACCGTATCTCTTGAGAGATAGATTTTTGGACGGCATTCGTGTCCGCAGGTCGCCCGCGCACACGAGTCGGGGTTTTTCTTCTCCGTTTCGGGATTTGATCGGCACCCCCCTTTGCGCGTAAGAGAGAGCCTTTCCCTTTAGGAATCTTAACTCCTTAAAAGAGGCTTCCCTTTATAAGGGGGTGAAAATCCCTTGAGTTTTTCGGTGTGGGATAAAACACACTAGAAACTCATCATTTTCCCAGTTTTTCCATTTCAACGAGCGAACTTCGAGAATCAATTTCTCATTCACCCGTTATCCGTTTTGAGCGTACCATATATCGAATTGTAGCCCTTAACAAGGACAATCTGAAACCACTTTGACCCGACCCAAATCGGAAGTGGACCCCACTCAAATAATTGCCCCAAAATGACCATTTAATGCAATTTTTAACACATTTTTTCCAACACTATATTGACTCGATAGTAAGTTTTATTAATGAACGCATCTCGTTATTAATAACTACCCTCGATGAACTTGATATAATCCTCAATTGAGTATTCGAGAGGAAGATAGTTAAAGATATAACCGGGATCGACGAACATTTCATTAAGTGAATAAAAGCAAAACCAAGTCTTCATCTCTATTAATTAAACTCATTTAAGTCATTCATCTTAGTGTTAATTAAATTAAATCAAATCAGACTCAAAAACCCCCCTTTTGTTACTGTTATTATAAAAGATAAATATTCCTTTCCCTGTGGATACGAACCTTACTTCGTTATACTACGTATATTCGTTGTATTGTATTTATTTCGAGTGAACCTCACGACAAGTGCACGTCAATGAGCAATAGGTAAAGTAGTGTCATTTGCAACATTAACATGAACAAGGCCAGGATAAATATTCTTAATAGATAAAATACCTTTTGAAGGCGTCATATGAGCAGAAGCTCCCGAATCGGGATACCAAATAGCATCATTGGTCTCACCGGTCAGTACCACAAAAGTAGGTGCATAGATGGGACAAACCGAGAGGGACATGAGATAGTCGAGTGACCTGTGGCAAAACAAATTTGACACACAACGGGAGAAGGAACAGAGCCTAGAAGTCCCTCAGACGAAGGGGAACCTATCCATCCAACAAAGTCTGCACTAAAGCCTGTCCAATTTTATCAACAAAGTCTGCACTAAATTTCTTGCTAATAGACTGTCCATCCTGCTTCCTAAGGTCATCTCCAATGAACAAGCTGGTTTCCTCAAAGGAAAGGATATAGCAGATCAAATTCCTATTTGACAAGAGATGATTCATGCTTTAGATAAGAAGATTAGGGGTTCTAATTTGGTGATCAAGCTTGATATGGCCAAGGCTTTTGATAGACTTTCTTGGGGTTTTCTTTCTAAAGTCTTACAAAAGTTTGGGTTTCATGGTCATTTTATTAATCTTGTCATCAATAATTTGCAGGCTACTCATTTATCTATTTTAATTAATGGCAGTCCTCATGGGGTTTTTCAGCCTAAGAGAGGGGTTAAGCAAGGAGATCCCCTCTCTCCTTTCTTATTTATTCTTGCCTCTGAAGTTTTCTTAAGAGACTTGAATTGGCAGGTGGACAATGGTTTTATTGAACCTTACTGGATGGGCAAATATGGGGTCCCTATTAGTCACATTGGGTATGCTGATGATCTCCTAATTTTTATAAATGGAAGGGCTAGATCTATTCTGAATTTTAAAAAGTTCCTTACATATTATCCAAGTGCTTCTGGCCAAGCTGTCAATTTTGACAAAAGTTCTTTTGTTATTAGTAAACATGCTCAAGCTAGAACTCAGATCATCAAAGATCTACTGAGAATGCAGAAAGCCAATCTTCCTTTGAAATATCTTGGGGCTAACCTTCACATGGGAATGAACATGCATCAGTATTGCAATCATATTATTCAACAGTTTGATTCCAAGCTAACTACTTGGAAACAAAAAAACTTATCACAAGCTGAGAGACTTATCTTGATTAAACATGTGCTTGGATCTATTCCAATGCATATTTTGGTTGTTGACCTCCTATCACAGAGAATCAAAAGCATTTAAAAAAAAGATGGCCAATTTCTTTTGAGGTTCTACTAATGACAAGCCAAAATATCATTGGCTTAACTTGTCCATAATGTGCTATCCTAAGGATGAAGGAGGATTAGACATTCATTCTTTAAAAGACCTTGAAAAAACTTTCTCTCTAAAACTTTGGTGGAAATGGAAATCCTCCTTTGGTTTTTTGTCTCAGTTTATGCACATGAAATATCAAAGAAGTGATGACATGATTCCTAAGATTACAGATTCACCAATTTGGAAAAGATTATGTAGCATCAATGCATTGGCTCTTACATTGACAGATTCTTCCTCCACTCGGACTTTGATATGGAAACCTGCTCAAGATGGCCTCTTCTCTTTCAAATCAGCTTTTAATGTTGTCAGACACTCCCAAGGTTCTGCTTTTTCCTACAAGCATATATGGCATAATAATCAGCAGCTTAAGGTGAAAATTTTTCAATGGAAACTCTTTAAAGGTATTTTAGCTGTAACTGATAATATCAATAGATTTCAGATGGTGTTACAACCCTCAACGTGCCCTTGGTGTAGAAATGATAATGATTCCACTGACCATATCTGTTATGGATGCTCTTATGTTAAGCCTATTTGGAGTTATTTTAGCAGGATATTGAATATTTCAATTCCTTCTAATCTACGCACAGTTAGGCATATGTTCTTTGTTTGGTGGTTTGAAGCTGGAAGTAAATTCATCAATGATGTTTTTAAACATAATCTACCTGGAATTATCAGGTGGCATATCTGGAAGGTATACAGTAACCTAATTTGGGGATCTCAACAAAATATTCCTACGAGTGCAGACATTATTTTGAGAATCAAAATCTATACTCAGATTTGGGTTCAAAGCTTCAATTCTTCAAAATACTGTCTCATTGATAACATTCTTATTGAAGAAAATATCATCCCTAACAACCTAAATTCGAAGTCGACTCACAAACCTATTAGATGGTTCAAACCTAAGCATGGTCTAAAACTAAATGTGGATGCAGCGTATATACCTGGAAGGGCATCGGGAGGAGCAATTCTGAGAAATGATAAAGGCAGCTTCGTTGGAGCCGTTTCTTTTCCCATTGCCAGCTTGCTCCAGTTCTCATGCGGAGTTGATGGCTCTCATCACAGCGACGACTTGGGCTATTGAGGAAGGTTACGATTGTTTTCAGGTGGAAAGTGATTCGGAGGAGACTGTGGACTACGTATCTGGAAGAAAACGAGATCATTGGAAAGAGGAAATCGTTGATTTCAGGCAAAAGTGTTTTAGGAAAGAGCTCAGGTTCAGGCATGTGATGCGTGAGGGGAATGAACCGGCCCATCTACTTGCAGGATTTTCTTCGGGTCATTTTATGAATTGGACTTCTTTAGACACTCTTCCTGGGCCTCTCAAGAAGGCTTTTCGGATGGATTTATTTAATTTACCTACTTCTAGTTTAAGTAATTAAATTGTATGTTTTGAAGAGGTATTGGTATAGTCCCCCTCTTTTTGTATTCTCTCTCTTTATTAAATAATACTAGACAAATGTCCCCGGACATTTGTCCCGCTGATTTTGGTGGTTTGCCTTCCGGGGTAAAAAAAAAGGGAACCTCCAATCTTAGAGTAAGTATCACATGCTAATGCAACAGTAGAAGAATAAGAGGCACAACCCGAATTACATATCACGATACCTGAGTTCCCCGTATTATGAGATGTCGTAGACCCGTTGATAGATGTCGCTGGTTGTGGGTGAAGACCTCTGCCCCGGCCACCACGTCCACGACCTCCACCGCCACATGAACCGCGACTGCCCCTGCCACGATACTGTCCAGTAGACGAGCCACGCCCAAAAGACTGTGCATCAAACGCTGGCTGTCCAAAATCTGAGTCCGAAGTGCGCATATATTGCATGAGACGTTCCTGCTCTTTTAAGATGGTGCCAAGGTCTGAAAAAGTGAGCTGCCGAGGAAGCAAAGTAATATTCTGGATGAGTGATGCATAGCTCGGTCCAAGCCCCAATATAGTGGACTGGAGAAGATCCTTATGTGGCACCGGGGAGTTGATTTGCAAGGGCATCAACAATGTTTTTAATTTCCCGGAGATAGTTCTCCATGGAGTGGTTCTCCTTTTTCCGGATATGAGAAAGCATGCGTTTGAGCTCCAAGGATCTAGACAAACTGGCGGACATGAACGTGGACTGTAGACGTTCCCAAATTTGTGCGGAATTTTTAATGTCATGAACATCCACTAAAACATCTCGGGAAAAGGTGACAAAAATCCAGGAGCGAACCATTTGATCAATGCGAAGCCAATGATAATAATCTGGATGCACTGTCTGTGTATTAAAAGCATCGGTCACATACAACGGAGGGGCTGGAATACTTCCATCAACCATGCTGAGGAAGCCCTGAGAGACAAGAAAAGATTCAAATTGAGTTCTCCACAGAAGGTAATCCTCATCTGATGACAATTTTGTGGTGACTATGATAGTAACATTGGGAGAAGAATACGCCAATTGTTGAGAGAGGGTAGATATGGATGAAGTTGGAGCAGGTGCAGGCTGCCTGCGGACTATTGGTGAGAAAGGAGGAAGGGTCCCAGGATTGCCAGCAAATGTCGGCCCACTAAACTGAGGCAGGGCAGAAGAGAATCGATGGAGGGAAGCGCCGAAAATATAGGTTGCATAGACGCCAGTGCAGACGGAGGGCTAGTCGCCGGAGATGTGGGGCTCCAGGTGAACGGCGTCAGGAAAGCACGCCTTGGAACGAAGGAAGGCAGTGTTGTGCTTGGATGAGGAATTTCACCGGAGAGAGCACTGGTAGAAGACGAAACTGCAGCAGAATTAGGCGGCACATGAGATCAAAGAGCACTGGTCAGAACAAGGGAAGTTGAAGTTGTTGCCGGAGAAGAAGAAAGGGCCTGCGTAGAGGTGGAGGCCATGCTGCCGTTCGTACGTATGCTAGGGTTGCGACAGAAAACCTAGGCTATTTGATAACACGTGAAATAATGAAGTGGCTTCCCCAATAGGTAGCCAGAGATATATTTATAATAGATAGAGTTTTTACAAATTACATAATAATCCCAATATTTATGCTCTATTAGGTGTGAACTCAGAATCTGTACCTGCAAACGTGATGGCCGATTGGATCTACGGTGACTGTTCATGAAGACGGAGGTCTGGGAGCCGGAGAACAAGGAGCCGACAAGTAGAAAATCAGAGAAAATGGAAGTGAACAGGGATAGAGAAAGAAAGAGTCGCCCAACTCCGTCCTACCGGCCGGTGAGTTCAAACTTGGTGAAGGAATCGAGAGTGGGAAAGAAAGAAAAAACAAAGAGGAAAGGAAAGAAGACACAAAGAAAGAGAAACGCAAATGCGGAGTAAGTTGCAGAGGTGGTCAGAGGCTTAACGCAGAGAAGGAAGCGCAGGGCAAAAAGGAAAGAAGTGAAAGAAGCAGAAGCAAAATAAAAAAGGAAGATAAAATAAAAGGAATAGAGGTGACATGTCAGTCCATGGGTGCACCGCGTCACTCCACATTTGCACACGTCAGCAGGTAATTGTTAACTGGCGGGTCACCTGCTAAGAGTCAAATTTGATGAAACTTCCGTAGTACGAGGACTTAATTGATGAAAGTAAAAGTAGGATAACTTAATTGACTTTCTTTACATAGTATGAGGATCTATTTGACATTTTCCCCTTATACTTCCTCCGTCCCTTAAAACTTTGTCAAGTTTGATCGACATGAAGATTAATAACGTAAAAATTGTATTATTGAGATTTATGTAGAGGAGAGAGAATTAACTTGAATCATAAATTCTTTACTTAAAAAGGAAAGTGACAAAGTTAGTGAGACATCCAAAAAAAGAAAGTTGACAAAGTTTTAAGGGACGAAGAGAGTATTTAATTTGTATCAAATGATGGTCACGTTTGATTAATGATTTTTATAACTACTACCTCCGTCCCACTAACATTGGGACAAGAGGGGTGCCACAGATATTAAGAAAAGTTAATTTATGTGTTTGATATTGAGTTGATAAAGTAATAATAAAGTAAAAATGATTTAGAGCCACACAAACATTACCAAATTTGATATGAGACAATCTTAATGAGATTTTTCCGAAAAGAAAAAATTGGACAATCTTAGTGCGACATAGGTAATATGAAATTATTTAAAATGAAAATTACATGGAAATATTTGTTGTAAACATACTCTTATAAAAGTAAGGACTATAAAATTATACAAAGTAATACTCCATCTGTATTGAAATTTTCGCTACGTATGGGTTTATCACAACATTTAAGAGAAAAATAGTTGAGCTAGTAAATATTGTAGAAAAAGTAGGAGAGAAGTGGGAAACTATGAAAGAAGAGATAAATAATGTAAATCATAAAAAAGTAAGGGAAATGTATTTTCAAGGAAAGTGTAGCAAACAAAATACTCCGTAATACAGAGCGAGTGACTAATTAAAAAACGTGAATGTATTTTCAAAAGGAAAGTGTAGCAAACAAAATACTCCGTAATACAGAGTGAGTGACTATTGTGGCATGATATCCACCATTTATCGTGGCTACGTACGCTGCTTCAACCACCACATCGTGCTTCAATTACCGCCTCCGCTTTTTATTATTGTTCTTCGTTTTTTGTCCAATGTTAGTATACGTCAATGGAGGTGACAAAGATTGCTGGTGAAGAAGAAGGTTATGATCTTCGATTGGTGAAGACTATGACTCGGGGCAGATTCCACCCGCGGGGGTGTGTAGCTACTAGGTTGCGTGGTTATCGGCGGCCGCAATTATGGATACAGATTAGACGGCGGTGACTGGGGCTAAAGAGGCTGGCCGAGGGTACGGAGGTTGCTAGGGAAGGGGTAGTGATAGGGGCGGTGGTCGGGTCAGGTGACGGCGATTGCCGGAAGGGGTGGGGTGGAGGTCACTTGAGTAGGCCAATGGCCAGGGCGGAATGGGCCAGGGCGGGAGCTGTGGTGGGCAGTGCAGGGGTTGCGTTGGCCAGGACACGGGCGGCGGCGGCGGCCCAAGTGTCACTGTGACTGGGAGGCTGTCCAAGTGTCACTGTAACTGAGGTGGCAGGGTAACTTGTTTTGTGTATAGACGGTGTTTTCCGTCGAGGGCGATGGCCGCAATTTTGGGGAGGATGTGTAGCGGTGTCGGTGGGGCAGTTTATGGTGGCGGTCTCGTTGTGGTGTCATGTTTATGTAGTTGCAATTGAAATTGGGACGACTTAATGATACGAAAGGAGTATAATACGGAGTATAACGTAAAAATAATACGGAGTAGGTGCTCTAAAGCTATTGTTCCAACTTCATTTACAATGCATTAATTAAAAGTTACAGATTAACCATATATTAACAAATGTTTCTGATTTCAGTCCGAACTCGTGTAGAATTTTATGCGATCATATCTTGCTCTATTTTTTTTCCGTTGAAAGCGTTTAATATCTCGTTGGACACAGTTTGATTTTCAGGAGGAGAGAGGGCAATATAGTCATCATAAAGAGGAATTTGTCTAGTAGCATAGCTATCATTAAGAGCAGTATAATCGAAACTAATTTCAGCTTTAGCCCTATTTTTCCTTTTATCCTTTTCCTCTTCAATAGTTTCAGAAGCACTAGTAAATTTCATCAGCTTAGTTAACCCTAACTTCGTGTACCTTATGTCGTACAATTGAATGCAATCAACCTTTTTCAAATTCTCTAGGTTATAAAATTCAGTGTCCTTAGTTTTATTGTTTAGCAAAAAGACTATTTGTTCTGATTGACCTCTCTTGACTAAAATATCCTCTAACTCGTTTATCTTTGAGTAAAGACGACCACTTTCATTGTTAATTAAATCAAACTGTAAAAATTATAGTAGTTAATTGATGCCCTCTCTCCATCCAAAGTGTAAAAATTGAACACAACTTACTTCACTAAAATTAATCATAGTAGCTATTTTTAAAATGTCATATTTTTGTAAACAAAGCTTCTGTTTAGTAATTATTTCATTGGAGAATCTAATTGAGCAATTTATTCGCTATGAATATCTTAATTGAATAAGCTATGAATAATTTAAGTGGCTATTCCCTTAATATTACTAAATTGGACTGAATTTCCAAAAATGTGAGTACTTTTGGAAATTGACAAAAAAATGATTAACAAGGTCACATATTTGGGATTAGAAAACATGATGTCACTATAAAAAAATTATGTCACTGTGTTCGTTTTTCTTGTCATCGAGAGTTGTCAAGTTCAAAATTTTCACGCCAATTACACTGGCACCACCACCGCCACAGTGACATCGTCATAGTGACATCGCCACAGTGACGCCGCCACAGTCTCACAGTTACATTGTTGGCGGCCGCAGTGACACCACCACCGACCACAGTGACGTCGTCATAGTGCCGAGTCATTTTCCAAAGACGCCGCCAGAGCCTGAGCCCCCACCATCACAACCACTGATCACCACTGAACCCCCGATGACCAACCCCTAGCCCTACACACCAGCTCGCCAGCCCCCAGTCCCACTCCCGATCCCCCTCCCCTGCTCCCCTACTCCCTGTCCTCCCCCAGGCCTCTCTCCGACCAGTTCGCCGGAAAGCTTAGCCATACCACCACCCTACCACCATAGAAACCTCATCTCACCCCCAACAACAGCGGCGTCCCCAAATTAGATTCGCCGTCCACCGAGATGTCAGATCTGGCACCGACGGCCCCAAATCGCAACCGACATCCATCAAAGACGGTAGATCCGGAACTGACGGCCCTAAATCGGAGTCGTCGTACATCAAGGCGGCAGATCCATCACCGGTGGCCATCTAAGACGACGGAGAGGCTACCCACGGTGCGGCAATCGACCATCGGCCATAAAGAAACGAGAAGAAGAAGAGAACGACTGCGTATCGGAGGAGACAGGAGAGCTGTGGCGGTGGAGGCTTTGTCGTTGGAGGCCCGATTGAAGGTTGAGAGAGAGTCTACGGTCAACTCTGGGTGGCTTCATTGAAGTTGGAAAAGATGATTCATATCTTGGAAAGGAAATGGTCTGGGCGGCATATCGGGAGAGGAAAAGGTTTTGGTAGTTTAGATTTAGTAACTTTTTTGTCCTGGTATAAATTAGTCACATTTTTGTCTACTAAAACCCTACTAGTAATATTAAGAAAAAATGACTCATATAATACTACCCGACTCTTCAAAGACAAAAGAATGACCCGTAATAAATCTGGGTAAATATATGACCAATCATAGATGAATAGACAAAAACACCCTTTTATAAAAGACTACTCAAACTCAATGTCCCACCAAAAATGCTCGCATCCATTCATTCTTGTTTTTGCAGCAGCTCTCTATGTTACAGTCTCCGACGTTGCCCGTTTCCATCGGTTCAGTCTTCGTCGCTAGCCCATCATCTCCACCGCTGTTGTATCCACCGCGACGTCTAACGACCGTCCCCTATCATTGCCGTATCCGCTGCCACATCAATCGTCTTCATCGCCTGCCTACTTCTCTGTCATTGCGTCTCCATCAATGAGGCGGTTTCATCCGGGAAAGATACACCACCGCCTTTCTCTTCTCCTTCATTTTTTGTTCATGTGCTGCCCCATATGGCACATGACAGACGACCAAGTTCCAGATCTAGGGACTAGGATTGTGGGATCACGGTGTGGCGGTCAGGGAGGTGGGCTAAAGTGGTGGCTGTCTAATTTGCAGGGGGCAGGGGATAGGGGCAGGGCGGCAGGGGAGGGCATTGGGGCTGGGGGTGCAGGTGCGGGTAGGGATGACAACGGGGCGGATCGGGGACGGGTACACATAAAACCGAAACCGCCCCGTTGGATAAATGTTATTCCCAAAATTGCCCCATTACCCGTTCGGGTAATTCTTATTTGAACCGTACCCGCCCCAACAGGGAATCGGTTTATCCACGGGTAACCATTTCCCCAAATAATCTAATCCCAAATCCCAATTTCTTTTTCAATTTGCATCTCATTTCGTATACACCACCGTACCCCCTCCGCATCCAATTTTGCTAAATCTTAATGATGTAAAAAACTACAAAATTAGGCATCGAGCAAACTCACCAAACTGTAATACACACTTAGTATTACTCACGAGATAGGCATCGAGCAAACTCACAAAACTGTAATATACACACTTTGTATTAAGTATTAACCACAAGAAAACTTACCTTTGACAAGGGTGATTCTGAGAATAGAAGAAAGAAAGAACTGAGGTAGAATCCTTGATAATGAGAGAGATTAAAAGCCACCGATGGTAGAGCCGAACTGCAGGCCTAGCATCGCTCCATCTAGAAGAATAGAAGAGAGTTGTTCTCACTGTTCAGAAGCAGAGCCCTGAGCCGCAAATCCATATTCTGTAATAGACTCTGAGTTAGGGATGTTAGGGTTTTTAAACTGGGCCTCTGGTGCAATGTTCTTTATATACCTATATGATATATACGATTTAGTGTACACAATTTAGTATATATACTTATTATTCTTATATGTAAAAAAGAGTTATAATTTATTAATAATGTTACAGATCGGGTAATGGTGCGGGTACCCGCACCATTAGTGAACGAGGCGGTTTTGGGGCGGATGACGGGGCAGATTAGTATAGAACCATAACCGCACCATTATCCATTTAAAAAACGGGTATTCCCCGCCCCGTACTCGTTCCCCAGTCAAACCGGTTTTCCCCATTTTGACCAAACCATTTCGGTGCGGGTATCCAACGGGTCGGCCAGAATTGCCATCTCTAAGTGCGGGCATGTGTGGTAAATGGATTGGGTGGTGGTAACCAGAGTGAGCTGTGGTCATTGGCGGTTAACGGTGAAGAAAGTCACTCAACAGTGGTCACTGAACGACGATCACTGAACGACGATCACTGAACGGTGGTCTAGTCACTGGAATCGGCCGACATGTTTCACACATATATCAATTACATGGGAGGTGGTAGAGTCGTTACCGCGCAAGGTGATTGAGAACAGTTAATTACCAGCAGGGTTACTGGCGGGTTAAGGGGTGGAGTCACTGAATGTGCGGTGGGTGTGTGACGGCGTTAATGGCGCATTGATATTGCCGACAACGATGGATGGTGGGTGGCTTGGTGACTGAGAACAGTTAATTACTTTTTAATTATAATAAATACGGAGTATATAATAATAAATGCAATACGGCATACGGTGTGCTCGTATTGAATGACACAAAAGGTATGAGTGGTCACTACAACAACAACAACATCCAAGCCTTAGTCCCAAAAGATATTGGGGTCGGCTAACATGAATCGATACATGATATCACAACCAAAAGGAAAAGAAGGAATAAAGATAAAAAGATAAGCTATTATGAAATAATAATATAAAAAAGATGAATATATATAAAAATGATAAAATAAAAAGGCTGCAAATAATGCATATATATATATATATATATATATATATATATATATATATATATATATATATATATATATATATAGGGATAAAAAAAACTAGGAAAAAAAAGATGAGGGAAAAAGATTATCAAGATCACTCCTTCACGTGAATACCCGCCCTCCACTTAGTTCTCTCCAAAATCATGCCCTCATCCAACCCCAGAAGAAGCATATCACTTCGAACTCCCCTACCCCACGTTTGTTTGGGTCTTCCTCTCCCTCTCTTCCCTACCTCTTCTCCACACATCTCAACTCGCCTAACAGGTGCATCACTCGGTCTTCTACGCACATGACCAAACCACCGTAAGCGCGACTCCCGCATCTTGTCTTCAATAGGTGCTACTCCCACCCTTTGTCTGATTGTCTCATTCGTCATGAGGTCCTTCCTAGTATGCCCACACATCCAACGCAGCATGCGCATCTCTGTCACACTCATCTTTTGAATGTGACATTGTTTCACCGCCCAACACTCTACGCCATACAGTAATGCAGGCCTAATTATTGTCCTATAAAATTTACCCTTCAGTCTAGTCGGCATACCCCGGTCGCATAGAAATCCTGACGCACTTTCCACTTCATCCACCCTGTTCTGATTCTATGGGATACATCTCCATCTAACTCACCGTCCTTCTGAATTATGGAGCCCAAGTAACGGAACATATCGCTGACTGGTATCGCATATGCCTTTTCTAAGTCAATGAACACCAAATGCAGATCCTTATGAGCATCTCTATACTTCTCCATAAGTTGACGAAGAAGGTGAATAGCCTCAGTTGTTGAGCGACCAGGCATAAAACCGAATTGATTATCTGAAATCTTCACAGTCCTTCGAAGTCTTTGCTCAATCACTCGCTCCCAAAGTTTCATGGTGTGACTCATAAGCTTAATCCCTCGATAGTTGGCACATTCTTGTACATCACCTTGATTCTTAAATAAAGGGATAAGAGTACTCTTCCTCCAACTCGTTGGCATCTTGTTGTTTCTCCAAATCATGTTGAAGAAACTTGTTAACCACTCGACGCCTCTCTCTCCCAAACTTCTCCAAGCCTCGATCGGTATGCCATCTGGCCCCATTGCTCTTTTCCGTCCCATCTTCCTCAGAGCTTCTTTAACTTCCGTTGTTTGGATCCTTCTCACAAAATCACGGTTAACCATACAATCTGGTATGGACAAATCGCCGATGTCTTGCATTTTGTTCCCGTTGAATAGTGTATCAAAGTATGACCTCCACCTCTCTTTTATCTCTCCGTCGTCCATTAATATCCTCTGATCAACATCCTTCACACACTTAACTTTTGCAATATCTTGAGTTCTGCGATCACGAAGACGAGCAAGTCTATAAATATCTAGTTCTCCTTCCTTAGAGTCCAACTTTTCATACAACTCCTTGTTCACTTTCCCCCGTGCTTCCCTTACGGCTTTCTTTGCTTGTCTTTTACCCTCCCTGTATGTTTCTATGTTCTCATCACTCCAATTTGTCCCCAACTTTTTGTAGCAATCTCTTTTGTTCCACCAAGATGTGTCCTTTTTAGGTGGCTGACATCCTTTAGATTCTCCAAGTACCTCCTTTGTCACTTTGTTAATGGTCAACTCCATTGATAACCACATATCATCCACCTGTGTTTCATTATCAATACGTCATACATGATATCACAATCAAAAGGAAAAGAAAGAAAATAAAGATAAAAAAGATGAGCTATTATAAAAAGATAATATAAAAAGAGATGAATATACATAAAAATAATAAAATAAAAAGGCTACAAATAATGCTTATATATATATATAAAAGGATAAAAACCAAGGAAAAAAAGATGAAAGAAAAAGATTATATAAGATCACTCTTTCACGCGAATACCCGCTCTCTACTTAGGATATAATTAAATCCTATAAGAAAAAATAAAATAACGCATATAAAAAAATTAAATGCAGCATATTTTCTGAAATTGAAAATATCTTCACAAATCCGAAATGGACACAGCAAAATTGTTGTGGATCACAATAACTAACACCGGCAAGAATCCTCAAAACGGGTTAATTCAACAGATCCCACAAGATGTAGAACTCAATCCGGTAGCCGCTCTTCCTTTACAGGCGTTCTGCAGATGCGGTCTGACGTCCGACAGCCGGACGGGCTTAAGACAGTACTCCTCGGCGCCTTCCGACAGGCAGGTGTTGATCCGGGCAGGAATATGCTCCGACGACACAATGACGACGGGGATATGCTTCAGAGCAGAGCAGCCCTTGATCTCCCTCAGCAGATCGTATCCGGTCATTCCGGGCATGCTGTAATCGGAGATGATCAGATCCGCCCCCACTTCATTCACAACCCGCAGAGCCTTGGCCCCGGAATCCACCACCGTCACTTTCACATTGTCGCCGGAGCAAGCCTTCAAGATCCTCTCGATCAGTTTCCGGTCGACAATGCTGTCGTCGACGGCAAGAACGTGGAAGCTTTTGCACTCGCTGTATGCCATTGATGATACAAGAAGAAGATTTGATACAAAAAGAATATGTACTTATGTAGTGTGAATCTTGGGAATGAGAGAGAATTGGGAATGATGAGCTGTTATATACAGATGAATGGATCAAAGAGGCGATTTTGGGGGTGGAGAGGATCTTTGATTCGGAAGATTAGATTGGATTTGATATGCCGGTGGCGCGATCATACAGAAAATGTTGGGCAAATTGGGAGTATCAACGTGTCCCGGCCCGATGGTGATCACAATGACAATCAATGGCCGCTCCATTACTTCATCGTTATTACTGTACAGACACAGTAATATACTATCCTCGGTTCCATAAAAGTTGCAACAGTTTGACTTTCACGTTTGCCAACGCGCAATTTTGACTGTAATTATATTTATTTACGTATTAGTAAACATTAAAAAAAGTTAATATATTGGAAATTTACATAAATACAAATTTATTAATATTTTATACATAATATTTTAATTACATATATTATTAGAAAATCGTAGTCAAAGTTAGATGTGTGAATAGTGCAGAAATTCCAATGTTGCAACTTTTATGGAACGGAGGAAGTATATCCTTGTGTCAAGAAGCTGGTTTTATCTGTGTTGCTTCACTCACAGGGAAACCCGGCCGGTTTTGAATATATTGACTCGTGTTCGCCAATTAAAGACCTGCAACATTTTAAATATTGTTGTGTTTTAAGATGCACAATATTATAGATTTCGGGTTCGAGCTCGGCCGGTTGTGAGGTTATCGTGCCTAGTGAGATGTTTCAGGTTCGAAACCCGCTAGGCACATAAGGGTTTGAAACTCAATGAGTTGAGTTTCAGCCCTGATTACTCCACCTGGAGTAAAAAAAAAAAGCATATGAGATTCGTGTGAGTTTTAAGAAAATAAAAGTTAAATGGTTGCTTTTCAATTTTAACCTCAAAAACTAAGAAAGAAAAAGGTGAGTCAATAAAAGCAAAGGTTTAAATAATATTCCCTCCGTCCCGAAATAATTGTCCTGCTTTCTTTTTCGATCTGTCCCGAAATAATTGTCTCATTTTCTTATTTGGTAAACAAATCTATACAAAACAATGTCAAACAGTGCAAAAACAGTGTCAAACAGTGTCGCTACAGTGCCAAACAGTGTCGTTACAGTGTGAAGTCAATTTCACTTTCTTAATCTGTGTAAAGGTCAAACCAGGACAATTATTTCGGGACGGAGGTAGTAGATTGTTTAAAGTGAGAAAATACAAAAAGAGAATTGAGTTCAATTCAAAAAGTGTTAATATTTTTGGAACAATCTGTTGGGTGCGTTTCGGAAAAACGAAGAAATATTAATTAAATAAAATTAGTTAATAAATAAAACAGCTAAAAGAAAACAGAAAATAAGATGAAGCAGATTTTAGTCAGAGCTCGTGCTACGCACGATGTTCTTAAAACGTATTCGTCGCCTCCCACGGTCCGTTGGGCATTGAATCATCCGTAAACTGTCCATTTAACGCTGCATTAAAAGACAAGAACGTTGGGCATTTAATGGCTTGGAGCAGTTCTGGTGCGAAGCCACCAGAGTTGGAGCAACTCTGGTACGAAGCCACCAGAGTTGGAGCGTCTCTGGTACGGAGTTCGAGCAACTCTGGTCCTGGGAAAAATAAAACGTTACGGGTAGAAACAAAAATTAGACCGTATCTTTGAATGATAGGTTTTCGGACGACATTCGTGTCCGCAGGTCGCCCGCCCACACGAGTCGCGGTTTTTCTTCTCCGTTTCGGGATTTGATCGGCACCCTCTCCCCCTGCGCGTAAGAGAGAGGCTTTACCTTTAGGAATCTTAACTCCTTAAAAGAGGCTTCCCTTTATAAGGGGGTGAAAATCCCTTGAGTTTTCCGGTGTGGGATAAAACACACTAGAAACACATCATTTTCCCAGTTTTTCCACATAGGACCTTCGATAGACGTCACGGCTTCCGTATAAGTCCGTGGTTCATTTTCTACCAAACATGTTAGAAAATCCGGTTCATTTTCTACCATACATGTTAGAATATCCGATTCAAATTCTACCAAGTAGGTGAGAAAATCTGGTCCGAAGGATTTTTCAACTCTAGCACGTTTGCTACGTGTGGGTTCGAGTTCTTCTCCGGAGCCCTCGCTAGTATTTTCCATAGCTACGTCAAATGTTCGTTTTGACGTGCTTGGTCCTTCGTTGGACATGCATGGAAATACGTCTTCAAAGAATGATGCATTCCTTGATTCAATTATTGTGTTTTTATGTACATCCAGATTATTCAAATCATACACTAAAAACCGATAAACACTACTATTTTGTGCATACCCAATAAAAATACAATCCACCGTTTTTGGACCTATTTTTATTTTCTTAGGTGTTGGTACAAGCACCTTTGCCAGACACCCCCACACTTTTAAATATTGATAGGAAGGCCGTCTGCCTTACCACAACTCGTACGGAGTTTTATCATATTTTTTCCGGGGAACCTTATTTTAAAGGTAATTGCTTGACAAGACTGCTTCACCCCACATATTTTGTGGCAGGCCCGAACTTACTAGCATCGCATTCATCATATCTTTCAATGTGCGATTCTTTCGTTCGGCAACACCATTTGATTGAGGTGAATAGGGTGCGGTACGTTCATGTACTATACCCACGCTCGCGCAAAAGTCACCAATTGGTGCTTCATACTCACCACCTCGATCACTTCTAACCGCTTTAATCCGTCGATTAAGTTGGTTTTCCACTTCATTCTTATAACGAATGAATTTATCGATTGCTTCGTGTTTATTTTTTAATAAATAAACGTAGCTATAGCGAATGCTATCATCGATAAAAGTAATAAAATATTTATTACCGTCACATGTTTGTATTGATTTAAAATCACAAACGTCACTATGAATTAATTCAAGTGGTTCCGTTTTTCTTTCAACCGATTTGAAAGACGTTTTCGTTAGTTTTGTCTCTACACAAACTTCACATTTGCGCTTCACATCAATTGTGAATTTAGGAATGTGTTCCATGTTAATTAATCTACGTATAGAATTAAAATTAACATGTCCTAGTCTACCATGACACACATTGGAAGACTCAAGCAAGTAAGTAGAAGGGATTTTATTATTATTATTATTATTAATAGACATTACATTGAGCTTAAACAACCTATCACATGCATACCCCTTGCCCACGTACATTCCCGACTTAGACAAAACCAGTTTGTCCGACTCAAAGACCATGTGGAAGCCATGCTTGTTCAACAACGAACCGGAAATCAGATTTTTGCGTATTTCCGGAACAAACAAAACTTGATTTAGAGTCAGCTCCTTACCCGAAGTCATCTTCAGGACCACTTTGCCCACACCTTCCACCGCGGAATGAGCAGAATTTCCCATCCACACCTTTTCACCATTTGATGACTCAAAGGTAGTGAATAGCCCCCGGTTTGAGCAAATATGTCGGGTAGCACCGGTGTCCACCAGCCACTCCTTGGAATTGGATCTAACGAGGTTGACCACAGTCACCACAGCCACAAGGATGATGTCTTCATCCTTTTGCCCACCTTGCACCAAGTTCACGTGAGAATATTTCTTCCTCTTTGGTGCCTTGCAATCCGCGGACTTGTGTCCGTTCTTGTTGCAATTGAAGCATTTTCCATTGAACTTTGTCTTGGAAATGTCTCCCTTGGGACCGAGCTTGCTCTTCCCATTGTTCTTGTTTTTGGAGCCTTTTGCATGCTCCACCACGTTGGCCTTGGCGCCGTTAACGATTGGGAGTTTCCCATCATTCTTCCGGTTATCCTCTTCAATCTGAAGACGGAGGATCAATTGCTCCAAGTTCATTTCCTTTTGCTTATGCTTAAGGTAGTTCTTGAAATCCTTCCAAGCCGGCGATAATAAATGGATAATTGACGCCACTTGGAAAGACTCACTAACTGTCATTCCTTCATCTCGAATTTCGTTGAAGATCATTTGCATTTCCTCAACTTGACTCAAGACCGTCTTCGAATCCACCATTTTAAAATAAAGGAATCGACCAACAACAAATTTCTTTGCGCCGTCATTCTCGCTTTTATATTTGTGGTCCAAAGCATTTCATAGCTCCTTAGTCGTAGCTAATTTTCTATACACGTCGTACAAAGCATCATGCAGCCCGTTCAACACATAGTTTCGGCAAAGGAAGTCAGAATGCTTCCAAGCTTCAACCGCGTTGAAAGATTGCGCATCCACCTCACGGCCCTCACCCCCGGTTGCTACCAGCGCATCTTCGGTCAAGAACCTAGCAAGACCGAGAGTAGTGAGGTAAAATAGCATCTTTTGCTGCCACCTCTTGAAGTTTAACCCGTTAAATTTTTCGGGTTTCTCCACAGAGTTGCTCGGCACGGTAACCATAGGGATTGCCCCTTGTTTGTCCAAAGCAGATGCACCGCGTTGTGAACCATTGTTCACCGGTGCTCCACTTTCAGAGTGATTATCGTTTGGCACGTTCTGCCCACCAACATTTCCAATCTCGTGTGAAGCCATTTTAACGTTTTCAACGTTTTCCGAAAACACAAAAAATAAGTTCGTTCACTCAAGTGACAAACTACGTTTTTAGATTGTTTACCGCAGTACAACAACCAAGAAAATACGTTTTAGGATTGTTTACCGGAGTAGAACAATCACCGAATACGTTTTAAGATTGTTTACCACACTAACACAATCACGGAATACGTTTTAAGATTGTTGGGTGTGTTTCAGAAAAACGAAGAAATATTAATTAAATAAAATTAATTAATAAATAAAATAGCTAAAAGAAAACAGAAAATAAGATGAAGCAGCTTTTAGCCGGAGCTCGTGCTACGCACGATGTCCTTAAAACGTATTCGTCGCCTCCCACGGTGCTAGGAGCGTTGCAACGACCGTTTCCCAGGATACGGTGGCTAACGAACGATCGTTTGAGCACACAAACGAAAGTTCCGGCGAACTGGAATACAGTATGAACACTCAGGAAATTTCGGAGCAGCTGGAAGTGTTTTTAGCTTAAGAAAACGTGAGGAATGTATTGTGAGATGTTAAACCGTGTGTTTGTTGCAAAGCACCTGCCAGCCTTTTATAGGAGGATTTGGATTTGTTGTGTGTTAAATGGGGTGTTAATGGACCTGAACGTTGGACATCAATGACCAGTCCGTTGAGCATTGAATCATTCATAAACTGTCCATTTAACGCTGCATTAAAAGACAAGAACGTTGGGCATTTAATGGCTTGGAGCAGTTCTGGTGCGCGATCAGAATACCCCCATCAGAGTTGGAGCAACTCTGATGCTACCAGAATACCTCCACCTGAGTTGGAGCAACTCTGATGCGAAGCCACCAGAGTTGGAGCGTCTTTGGTACGAAGCCACCAAAGTTGGAGCGTCTCTGGTACGGAGTTCGAGTAACTCTGG